TAATAAATAAAAACTAGAGTGATGTTTTTAAAGACTATCTTGTTGTACAGTTGCATGGGGAAACAGACGTGTAAAATAGTGGACAATAACCCAATAGGAAAGTAAGGAGTAGAGTGTGAAGAACCATGATAGTAGTAAAGAAAGGTTCTTGCTATGCAGAAGGTACTGAATGATGCCTGTGATGGTGTGCAGTAAGTGCTGCCTTAGACAACTGGGTTTTCCCACAAGACTCAAATAATTGTCCCCATGGGTAACAAAGCACTAAGATGCACGTGTGCCGTACAGCATAGAACTGAGTCATCAGTAGTAACCACTGTGCCAGCATTTAACCCTCTGTAATGGAAGACAACATGTAGAAGGTAATTATGTAGCCAGAAGTAAAAAAAGGTTTTTATTTTCCTAGCACTGGAAGTTTGTCTGTCTTCTGACAAAAACTAGACTGACATTGTGATCAGCTTGCTTCAACTGCTCTAGGAATTCTTGTATCGATGCACTGCTGTCAGTCCTCATAAACTGTTATGGAAAGTCATTTACACACTTCAGTTTTCTCCTGTCCCACATAGTTCTGTGGACCTGCTGTAGGCTATTTAAAAGGGCCTGTGAACCGCTGTTTAGAACCACTGAAGCTTAGTAATTTTTGTTTCAGTTTTGAAACGCTGCCTGTTCTTAGACTCCCTAATTTCATGAGGTAGAAATGGGAGGGAGAAGAGTCAGCAGCTTTTTAAAATTAATGAAATAGCAGTTGCCATGACAACCTAGTTTATCTGAGATGCTGTAATACAGACATTCTGAATAAATCACATTCTCCTAGTTTTTAAAAATTCATTGTCTTTCCTAAATATGTGGTTTGGTGTTTTTTTTTTGTTTGTTTGTTTTTCCTGGGGGAGGGGGGAGAGTTTGAGGTGACTGCTGACCTTTTCCGAATACTGCATAGTTGCAATATACCAGAAGTAAATTTGATTATTTTACCATTGCTTTTTGTAACAGCAGTATAAAGAATTATTGCCAGACAGCTTGTTTTCCTTTGTCCCAAATTATTTTACACTCTGAATATAAAATATGATTTCAATTTGGGCATAAATGCAAAGCTGGCCTTAGAATCCATTTAAGAGAGGCTTCAGAGAATTGACTGCTCTTCTCTAGGGCTGATATTTTTTATGATGAAATACAATATCAAGTGCAATTTTTAAAATATCTGTTTAAAGGTTGACATCAACTGATAATTTAAATAATGCTTATTTTACATATCAAGAGTTAATTAAAGAAATCCACTACTCCAGAGTTGTCAAGCCAAACTTGAATTACTGAATATGAAGTACATGCCCAGAGCTGAAGAAAGTTTTAAAATTCAAAAAAGCATCAAAATGCACCAGTGTTGGAATGAAATTAGTCCTTGTGGAACTAAAATAATTACCAGTGTAAAATGAAGGTAAAGACTCACGTATCTGCTCCAGTATGAAGCAGTTATGTTAATACCATAAACACATGCAGGTGTTTGACATTAATGTCAGATTTGCTTATTAAATCACATGACCTTTATATTTGTAGGAAATGTGCTCTCAGTGGACAAAGTAAGTCATGCAAGCATAGAATCAAATTAGGAGATTCAAGCAGTTATTACTACATTTCTCCTTTCTGTCGTTATAGGGTAAGTAGATTTGCTGTGATTTTGTTTTGCATAGTTATTTAGTTATTTTTTTCCATACTGCTATACAAAATTATATTAACCACCATTATTTTTGTATGAGTTCAGATCACTTCTGTGTGTAACTTCTTTACATATATTCGATACATCCAGCAAGGACTGTTGAAGCAGCAAGATGGTGAGTAGGAAATTGTGTTTGACGTATATAAACAGAAATTTAAATAGTGACTGTGCCTAAAAGTTGCTTATCTGTGCACAGTAACTGTGTCCTGACATTACTGGAAAACTGTAAGTTTTTTTGAGAATTTGGAGAATGTGGTGATATTTTGCTTTCCAATAAAGTTATTTTTTTAAACAAACAAATTAAAACACATTGATTTTTAGTCCATCTAAAACCCCCTTATGTTATTGAATAAGAAATATTATGAAAAAATCTGTAACAAGAGGAGTTAGTCACAGTTTTCCACACAGTAGTCAAAAATCAAGTATCTTTCACAGAATATGGAGATATTTTACACCAAAATACCTTCAGTTTGGTTTGGTCTGAGTCATTTTTCCTTTTGCTTGGTGTTTTTTGTGTGTCTTCCCATTTTGTGCATTGTGAATTGAGAGAGCCATTCTTGTCATACTATTTTTTCAGGGGGAGCTGGCATGAGTGACAATATTTTGGGTTCAATTGTAAAAAGTAAACAGGAAACCTGTTATATATACAGAAAACCTGTATACTCCAATAATTCATGTGAACGCAGCTGAAAGGTCATTGCAGTAGCATGGCAAAATCTCTGGATTAGGGCTCTGGTTATAAATGTAAGGCTTGATTAGTGTCCACCCCGAAAGAGAAATGTGTTTTTTACTGCCATTGCTTCAGACTGTGATTTTGGTTTTTTTTCTACTATTGTTACCCAACTTTTTTGTTCTTGTTAGAATAGCATACCCAACAACTGCCTGTTTAAACTGTGTCTGCACAGTAATTCAGAAATTTGCCTAACTGTGTCATTAGGTTTCAGTATGTTTGTGAAAATGTATTCTGGAATTTAAACATATATTGCGTGTTGGAGTCGTAGTTATTGGTCTTCACTTTCAAGACACTTTTACCTGTTTCTGACTAGAAAAGAGAATGAAGATGATTTGATTGTGTTTAAGCTGCACACAATTGATTTAATTGTCTTTCCTGTCCAGGTCAAAGAATATTGCCAAACAGCCTTCAGTCCGAGTTTTTTTTGAAACAGGTCATATCACTTAGGCTCCCGGATATGCTGAGCACAGATAGCAGAAAAAGTGTCATTAGTCCAGTGTCATTAGTTAATTAAAAATTTTGCTTTCGCTGTGAAAATATAATTTTTTTTTTTAGTTCAGTTGCATTTTTGAAAGTAGAATAAAACAGCATTGCAATGTTTATGGATGTCTGTGCATTCCATTATTCCAGTTTTGAGTCTCTGTGGATTTGCTTCATCAAGAATTTGGCTGGAATTAGCCCCACTTTTCTACCTCACCTCTAGTCATCTCTTCTGATGTTTCTAAATTTGAAGAACTCAGAATTTTAGCTACATTGAAATATTTTGTTTCTGCCTCTAACCTTGAGTGCTTCTGAGGTGCTAGACTGTTCCTTACAAAACAAATGCTATTTATTTATTTTTATTTATAGTCAAAGGGCCATGGAATTTATCAGAAATTCATCTATTTCATACATTATTTTTAATAATACCTTCAGATGGTGGTAATTTTTACTAATGTACCAGCATTGCTAAAGATCTTGAAAATGTGTTATTTAAATTTTAATAAGATCTATAGTTAAGACTTTTACTTTGACCAAAAGAATCTATGAAGTTTCAACTAAAAATTGTTTAGCTTGCCATTGAGATGGAAAAAGCTAAGTTAATATTTTTTTTACATCAAATAATGAAATATTTTCAGCATTATCAGATTTATTTATTCTTCACGAGAAGTTTGGAAAAAAATTGAGTTTGGTGTTTCAGCTGCATTGTTATCTTGACTACTAAAATACAAAATTTGCATTTGTAGCTTTATGTAAGTATTTCAACAATACCTTTACAAGATAGTAGACACTCATAATAACTGTGTACGTAATGTGCTGTGTGCATTTCTACTAATGCGCCATGTAATTTTTGAGACAGAACTCACTTTTACAAAAGTGGTTTTGGAAATATGGTAGGGAAGACCTTGTACTTTTTTTTCAGGTTAATTATATTAGTGGACATTCTATGTCAGGATTTTGCCTGCATGGAAATTATTTTTGTTTTGAATAATTGTATATTCAATTTTTATTTGTATTGCTGTGGCATCCAGAAGTTTACAGTGTGCACTAGAGTCCTCAAGTTTAGGAAAATACAGATGAATAAGAAAAAAAGTCCTTTCCTACCCAGCTTATTGTTGCTGCAGATTCCTGTAGAAAAAAAGGAGGAAGAAAGATTATAAATGGGAAAAATATAACAAAATTACAGGTTCTTTGATTAAGCAATTCTTATTCAACAAGTTCTGCTTTTTTCGTAGTTATTTAGTTTTATAGAAAATGGGTCAAGGGGCAGGGCAATTAAAATGAGGCAATTAATTGAAGCTGATAAGAAGTACTGATGAATTTTTGTTCTCCATTTTAAAAAGAAATCTAAAACTTGAGGAATTTTATTATAGGACTGTCACTTAGAATTTTTAGATATTTATTTGAATAGATTGTCATAAACAAGCACAATTAGCCCTTACACATATTAATTTTGGTTTTACCAGATGTTTGTTATGAAGTTCCACTAAACTCATGTAGAGTGAAGCAACCTGAATACATCAGTTGAAATGAAGTATGAATTTGGTATGTTTAATGATGTTTCTGTCTTTTTTTAGTGGATCAGATGTTCTGGGAAGTTATGCAGCTGAGACGAGAGATGTCACTAGCAAAACTTGGCTATTACAAGGAAGAGCTCTAAGTCTTATTACTCTTGCGCGTGCATGAACTTCATTGAATATACATAACAAAAATGGCTGAATCTTTTTTTGTCACTTGATATTTATTTCCACAAAGTGGGTCCAAGATCTTTCTCCTTTTGCAGATGGCACTAAGAAGTACTGTGATTGTTTTGAACTGACCTATGCTGTATATGCGTACATATAATATTTAGTTGAACAAATGTGGTAAACACTTGCAGGTGTATTAGTGATTGTAATTTACATTTAAAAAACAAAAATTCTGATTAAAGTGTTAATCTGAAACAGCCTCTGTCTTCTGTTTTTTGTGATGCAGAATAATGTGAATCTCGCCAAGACAACATTCCAAAATGTAAAAATGAGATGATCTTATGAAGAGCGAATAAACGCCTGACATGTTCTTCATTGTAGTGTTTAGATACATGTATGTAGCTCTCTCTACATGCATGCCAATACAGTTAAGAGACAATGAGGAGAACTTGGAATTCTTTGAAGTGCTGCTTTCCCATACTTTTGATTTTTAAAAACGTGTAAGAAGAGAAACATATACAGCATAATAAACCTGAGTATCTTCTCTTTAAGGGAGAGTGCTTTTTGAATATCAAGGAACAATAAAATTATCTTGTTGACACTTTGGTTAGAAATCTGTCCTGACCCTTATCTGACTGCTAAAAACTTTCTCTTTCCCTCTAATTTTCTTTCATTAAAATTTTTTCCTTCCTTTAAATGATTTTTTTTTTTAATGCTACCTTTTTTTTTGGGTTCCAGTGTTTTATGCATCATTTGCCCCACAACTGTCCTTGAAAGGGGGAAATTTCCACGATGTGATTTCTTTAACATGTTGATCATAATGTTTTGATATAATGTTACCAGTTTTTTCACACACACAAATTGTGTCAGACAACACCAGAAAGGATCATGGCCTCTTAAACATGCACTTCAAAGTGTTACTTTGGCACTTGAAGTTCAAGTGGTCCTTTTTTTTCCTGGGCACTGTCTAAGCTGAAAGCAGACAGCTGGTGAGGTTACAGGAACATAGTTGTGAGTATGTACTAGACGTGCCCTTTTGGAAAAACATTAGATCTCAACCTTGACAGCCATTTATCAATTGCACTTAAGATTAAAGCCTTGGCAAGTAAACAGACAAACATTAAAAGGTGAGTTTATGTAGTTGGTTTTTTTAACAAGAAGCATCTCAGTGGATACACATCTCTTTGATGCTGAACAAAACCAATGCTATTCATCACTGTCTTACTGGAATGTTCTCCGTTTTCACAAAAGTATATAGAATGAGCAGTGAAATTTAATACCATGTTTGTGTTGCTTGTATGTACCTAAAAACACTTTGCAAGTGTTGGCTTCAACTGGGCATTTCAATGTTAAGATTAAAACAAACAGCTGAACCTAAATATTTTAGTAGAAATGGAGTATGTGTGTCTAGCCTGGGCTATTTCAGTACTGAAGAAATATTTTTATCAATATATTCTCCCTGGGTACTACTTGCTGTTGGAGAAACCTGGAAAAATTCTACCATAAACTGTTAAAGGGTTGTTTATTCTTTCAGTAATGCTAAGGAAGTCTGGTTTTACTCTCTCTTAGAAAACAAGCTGTGTTTGTTGGTATTATGTTTTATGTTAGGCTCATAAATGCTTCCTAAATGATTATTAATCCTGAGTTTATATAATGAGCTACAACTGTTTCCATGATTACCTAACAGTGGGCAAATGGTAGCAGGTAGCTGTTGCTGTTCTGACTTAATATCCTTTACAACAACAAAATCCTATTGCTCATTCAAGCAGAGAGAGAAGGGTCCTTTCTATACATGGTAGTATCTAAAATGTATTATGCTGAGGTGATTTTCTTGTATTAGGGACGACAAAGATGTACCTTATGTATCTCAGTGGTAATGACTGTTTGGCTTAATTACATCAACGTCTTGTAAATGCTGACCGACTTGCTTCTGTCTTCAAGTCCCTACTCTGAAATTCTTGTCTATATTTTTAATATGAGCTGTTTATCATGAGCAACCTGTGTCACTGTGAGTGCTCAGGGCTTGTAAAAACAGTTGCATAACAGTTACTTGTCTGGTGAATGTAATTCAGAAAATAGCCTAATTCCAGAGTTGACTTCATTGAAATTTTTGTTCATAACCAAATGCCTCTTTCAGATGCCTACTCAAAACATCTGAATATTTTTGTCCTGTTTGCTTAGGGATGACAAAATGGGCCATTTTTAGTGTTTAAAGATGAAATCGGAGAAAGTGAAATAGGAAATAGAAAATAGGATTTGCTGCTAGCAAGAGCAAAGAGCTTTGTTCTGTGTTCAGCCTTCCCATATGTTTTTCATAAAACAGATAAACAGTTTTGTTTTGTTAGTAACAATGTATAAATTTTACTTCCCTCCTAGTGACGGCTTTGCTCTTGCATTTTTGATTACTTTTGATTTCACCAGTGGTATTAATTACATGACCTGTGTGAAAGTACAAAGACAAGTAATTTCTGTTGCTGCATTTTTTGCGCATGTGTAATTATAGTTAGTACTGGGACCAAAGGTCCTTGAAACAAGAACATTAGACTTATTGACCAGATAGAACACACATCACTTTCACCTTGCCTCAAAAGGCTTGTCAGATTTTCCTTTACATGTAGTTTAATTCCTTTACATAAAGCCTAAGTATAACCCTGGCTCTAGTTATGGAGGAAATATGAAATCAGCTGGGACAAATTCATTGAAACCTCTGAAAAAAACATGAAGTGCTCCTTGGCATGTTGGTAATCATCTGGAAAAGAGAGAGTGCATTTTTCTCAGCGGGAACTCTTCAAGCAGTAAGAAAGCAAAACAATTCTACTGGATTTTCATGGATGTGGTGGGAGAAAATGAGGCCTTACAGCAGTTCTTTGAAGGTAAGAGTCTAGTTTCAAGAGAAAGTCTTAAATTTTTGGTGGCAGCAAAACCACAGTAATTGTTTGGAGGTAATTGAGGAAAGAAGGAGGAAGAAGAGCCCTGAAACCCAAAACCCCGTTTACACAAAGCTATTGTGTAAGGCAGTGAAATAGTACAAGTGGTACAGATGTGCTGCAGTGCCTTTTTCTTTGTACTCCAGCCAGGAAACCAAAGGAAAGGTGGACTCAGCAGAGCCTACAGTACTGCCATGGTAATTGCCTTGAAGAAAAACTGGGAAGTGAATGAGGTCTTGCAGTTTATCACTTCTGAAATCTTCGTGGGTTTCATGAGGTTAGAGATCTTGCTCCCTGCTCAGTCTTGTCAGGTTAAAGAGGGTTTTCTTTCCACTGATATTCTGAAATGACCTGATTGTAATTGGTAAACTGGTAATTGTGGCAGTATCCTCAGGATCCTTCTGAGAAGTTAAACTTGGATATTTTTGTCTTTTTCCTGAGGTCATCTGTCATTCTTACTTTTTCCGAAAGACATTTTCTATTCAAGCAGGTCACATTAATTTCCTGACTTTCTGTTACTACACAGTTTACTTTCTAATAGATGCCATGATAAAACTACATTTCTTAGGCTCTGCGGTAATGTGATCCAAAATGGCTGTTCAAAGTCTTTTTACTTTTTATGAAGAATTTTCCTTTCTCCCATTTGCAATTTGTCTTTATTTTTTATTAACCTTTCTATGCTAAATTTTTTCTGTATTTTTTTCTTCTTCTGTTGCCTGTACAGGTATTCATGTGATACTGATCTCAAAGTAACTTGGCAAACTTTACCTTTCTGTTGTGATTCTATTTCTTTTTCTCTGCCCCTCTGTTGGTCTTGGTGAGGGATGGCAATTTTTAACTTGTAAGTCTTATTTTCAAACTAGGAAATTGAAGATTCTCCAATTGCTCGTTTGGTGGCCTCTGCGAGTAGTCATAGCAGAGTTGGAATATTGTCTTTCAAGGCTGTGAAAAAGCTGAATCCTGCAGTATCAAGTGGAGAATGGTGATCAGTGGTTGAGTTTTGGTTTACAAGCTTAACTGGCAGCTAAGCTCATTTATAGATTTGTAAGATGATTTGAAATTCATGACCAGAAAGGATCACATTTACCCTGTTGCTTTAATTCCTTACAGGGCATGTTTGTTTTGACACTCATTAGTACTGTAAACTTGCATCTGCAATATTAAGAGGGGACAGTCTGAAAACAGGATCTTTTTTTCAGGGAAAATGAGATAATTTTTTTCCTGATGATCACTTCTTTCAGTAGTTCATAGACCTCTTTTAGATTAGATATGACTCTGGGATTTGACCTTGGCCTTTTCTCATTCAAGTAAATGGCTTTTCTCTTGCCATGTGGCTGTTTTGGGAAGTTCTTGTCTTTTTTTGTTTCATTTCACTTGCACACTAGAGATTTCATCTTTGATGCAAGTTTTTTCTGTTCTGTTAAATGAGTATTTATAATTAAAACATCTTGCATTTTAGAATCAGTAAGTTCCTATTTGTCAAGGGAAGGTCAGAGCTCCTGATTAGCTATTCTGCCTGTGTGTCATAGAGCAGTCTGTTCTTGCTGACGTTATCAGTAGGTTGAGAAACATGATGGAAGGTCAACCTGGTTACAGTGTTAAACTCCTCTTTTTTCTTCTTGTGAGGTGCACTGAGGTGTCTGAAATGCATGTGCTTGGTCTCAGTGCTCTCCATGATCTAAAGAAATCTCTTTGTGGAATCACCACCTCTCTGTATACTTATGCTCCTGTATGGGTGGGTAACATGGAATATAGTTTAGAGCTCCTGATCCATTCAGCAAGCAGGTATTGCTGAACACTGACCATGTTCTGTGTGCCGTTTTTACACCTTGAGCTGTATTTAATAATTCTTCCCTGTCTAGAGTAGCTGATGCTGTAACATGAATCTTAGATTTCCATATGGCTGAAAACTTCCTGGCATCCTCTTTTGATGTCAGGAAATGATCAGTTTAGTACTGGTTTTTAGTCAATACTATTTCTCTGTCCCCCATCCTTCACTTTGCATTTAGATACCACTGAAAAGGAGGCAATGGATTTAAATGCAGGTATACATAAAGCACTACATGGAAGTGTTGGGAAAATTAATCAAGGTAGGTTTTTTGGTGATTGAGACTGTTGGTTACAGGACCATAGAGTGAAGCTCAGGAGCCAGGTGATCAGAGGTTTGTGGCTGGAGTAAAGGAAGAGATGGCTGCCAAAGAGCAAGTACCAGATTAGGAGGCTGGTGTACATAGTACTCCTTTGGGGCCTGTGGCTGGGCATTAGGAACAGGATAGGCCACAATGGACAGGGAAACGGAAGTCAGTGGAAGAACTGACAGGTTTTAGACTTGGGGACAGAAAAATAGAATATCAAGCTTATGAAGAAATGGGAAAAATACATAATCGTATTCAGCCCATGACTGCAGTCTTTGTTCTGCAAACATCTCTCTGTGAAACTCCAGCCTCGGCACTGCCTTGGCCTTTCACATTCATCTGCTTGTTGGGTAGCTGACAGTTCTCTGCACAGTGACACTAAAGTTGAACGTGTCATTCAGTGTAGACTCTTCCCAGAGGTGCCTGGGCACACTGTGGTGTGAAGTGCGTGCTGGGATCAGAGACCCCCGAGCACAAGCTGATAATTGAGGCTGCTGACTCCACATATCCTCCAGCAGCTCCCAGACAAGCACACAGTTCTATGCAGGAAGCTGTGTGTTAACAAAAGCCTCTCAACAGGGTTTGCCTTGCCACATACACACAGGTCTCATCCAGGTGAGCAGCTAACATCCAGATGAGTGACTGGCTTGCATACTGCCCAAATCTGTTAAGTACTAAGTGCGATCAAATGCCCGTGAAACGGTTGCCAACATTAAAATAAATTTGCATATGGTCCAACAACTCCTCTGCTGAAACAGATGCCAATGCAAGCACGTGATGCCAGTGACCTGGAAAGTACATTCAGAAACAAAGAATGAAGTTGTACAGGGTAGCAAAATGTACTAGCTCTTCCATGCACCTGCATTGTGAACATTCTTCGTGTCTACTTCCTGGTGTGCTTCCTTCCTCTCCCAGCATAGAATTACTTGTTCATTCCTTCTTCTCCTTCTCATTTAACTGTTCTTGCAAAGTGGAGAGATTAAGAAGGACTAACATACATTGCTGTCTCACTTTGCAACAGGGCTAATCCCTGGACTGTGGGATGCCCATTTGAAAGGCCTTATCCTTGCTGTATTCCTAGCTGTATTCCTTGATTCAAAATAGCCCATCTCTGACCTTGGTCAACATAAAGGATTCTTAAGTTTTGTGGTACAGGAAAGACATTTTGTATATGACCTCTGGCCTCATGTTAGTAATAAAGGCACAAAGGCTAGGCAATTTGAACAGGAAAATAGGTGGGTAAAAGAAAGAGAAGATGATGGAATAATTTTCCTAGGGACTACATTAGTAAAAGGAGAGGCATTTGGGATGCAGTGTGGTGGTGTCCTGCATGCAGACACAAAGAATGAGACGATGAGTCTCCAACAAGTTTAAGGAAGGCTGCTAAGGAAAGCCAGGCTCTTTTATACTCAAGCTGGTTTTGCAAAGTGCTCTGCTGCTGCTTCACAACTTTCCATATTAACAATTTTTCTGAGGCAAGTTGGTATGCTGCACCTATTGAATCTGTTCTTCTGGTGTGTGGAGGACAGGTTTATATACAATGTCAATATATTGAGATCTATCAGTAGCATACCTGCAAGTTGCTATCCCTCAGTGAAAGGCACTCAAAATTAAGCCTGCAGCAGCAATAAGTAAACAGTACCCAGATTAACCGGTGATCACAAAGCAATTCAGGAAATGTTTATTAGCAATGTAAATTTATGTATTGATAGACACACGAGGAAATTCCTGTGCAAGGGTGTGGATTTTAGGTGCCGCTTCCTGTTGTGTCCTTTCTTAACACTGAAGGAACAGTATCAGTCAGAGACATCAGAAAACAACTGAAGATACTATGGTATGACTTCTTACTGTGCAAGTTAGTATAGGAAACACACCAAAGGCAGTCACTGCTCCTCTGCTCAATGGCAGCGATTAACCTTTTGTGTTCTCACATGCTGCCGCAGAGCTGAAGGGACAGGGTTGGTGTCAGACATAGGGCTGAGCCACACAGCTCTGGGGGTGTGGGCTGGTCCATTTTATCTTGCACAAAAGTGGGACAGAGCCACATGCAGGGCAAGCAGGAATGTTAAGGTCCTTATCTTGTTTGCTTTCTGACTGGCCACACCTGTATTTGTGGAAGGCTTGCTGGAGAGGTGTGGAGCTGCAGAGGAAGACTGCTTGGTTGGGTTTTTTAGAGATCTCCAGTTGACTTTCTGTGAAAGTTGTCATGAAGTCTGGAAACTTTATAATCATAATATCTCTTTATAGCCTTCAGTTACCAAGCAACAAAGGGCAAAGTACTGAATCTTTCTGTTTGTTAATACATTTAACATGTTAGTGGGCTGGGGTTTTTTCAAGTAGGAGAAAATAAAGCCACCAGTCAAACATTTCTAAAGCTGTATGTTTGCTTTCTTTAAACTCAGGTGGTGGATTTTTAAACTGAGTGTTTCAGAAATTCACTTGCAGTTTTAATCCAGAAAGTGGATCTGTGTGAGACAGTGTTTGAGCTTCAGTGCAACAAATTGTTTTGACTCCAGTATAAAAGAGTCAGAAATTATCCTCTAAACTTCCTTTCCCATTTGCGGACTGGGGTCCTTCATCCTCCTGCTGTGGTAGTTCACTGAAGCCTTAATGCCATACATGCACTGCTCTTTGCCTGGTGCTGCCCTGTCATCTGCATCTGCTGCTGCATTTCTCATCATCCTTTTTCCCAGAGTGACTAAACCAGGAGTGAAACCCACCTGTTACATATAAGTCAGGATGGATTTGATTTTCCTTTGTGTAGGAGCATGGGCAGCATTACTTAGTATGAAACACTTATGATTCCCTCTGAATTTCTGTCTTTAATTTTAGGGCAAGATGTCCATGGAGCCTTGGAGAATCCCATGGTGGATACAAGCATGTTGGAAGAATTCATTAGTAGTGACATAGAGTTTGGAACTTTGTAAGTAATATAGCAACAGGTACTTCCTCTCCTTAGCCAAATCTCTGGAATTGTTTTCATTAGTGCCATGATTAAATCTGAATTTCAAAAGGATTGTGGCTCTCTTGATACTGTTTCTTGAAGCTGTGTAAGAAGATTTGGAAAAAATTAATTACAGACAGTAATAGAAATATGGTTGTCTTGTTCAACAGAACAAGTGATAAAAGTCTAAGTTGATTCGAAACTGTAAAGCTAATTGTGACATTAAATACAAAGCTGTTACTTTAACATCCCTGTAAATGCCAGTTTACTGTTTATGAACAGAATAAGTGATAAAAGTGAGACTACTGTATAATACATTGAGAGAATAATGGAAATCTCCCAGTTTGAGGGAAGCAGGGCTACTGTTTTCATCCTGATACTTAATTCAGGACAGAAGCTGTCCATTAACCTCTTTTGAGACTAACTGTAAGAGATTCAGAGGCTTATGGTGAAGAGTGGAAAGATTGTGATCTATGGAAGACTTAAAAACCAAATCTTTCAAACAGACAACGGTCAGATGACTGTTGTTCAATGCAAAATAATATTAATGGACTGACAATTGCACTTGACAAGAAGCAGAGCAAGAGATGTTTTAAAGATAATGAGGTTTTTCATTCTAGACACACTCAGCAGTACACATGTTTACTTATGGTGGGCTAAATAGGCTTCTACCTGTGCTAAATCATGAATAATGAATCTATTCTCTCTGCCCAAGCTATAAAAATAAAGAATGAAGTGGAGTTTATGTGTAAATATCCGTAACCTTTATTTTTAGAGTCACTCAACGTGTTTTAGGTTAACTGGATTACTGAACTCCTGTATGACAATTTTAAATGTTATTATTTTACTTTTATACATGAAATATAGCAGAAATATAAATGTGTATATGTATGCTATTATGTAGCTTAGGTAAGTTAGATATTATAGTTACAGTGCTACAAAGTATTCACATGCAAGAAAACCATCTGTAAAGCTATTATGGGTTTGAAGGCTGAACAGAATTTTACACTAATAGTTCAGTCATACTTTGTTATTTCTGGGATTAAGAACATTTACTGAATCATTAGATCTCTACAAGTCAAATGATTAAATATTTGTCTTTATTACAGATTCTTTGTGTATAAACAGAATAGAATCTCATAAAGGAACTTGCCAAAATGTGTCAAAGCAGAAAAATATTAAAAACCTTCATATATACATATAAAACACACAGCACCATACTGGCATGTACAATACTGAATGAGAGTGCAATGAGAAGGGTGCTGTTACCACCACGGTCTTGGGGACACAGTCAGCCCCTCCTATTGCCCATTGATAAAATCAGCGCTACAAATAAGGGGTCAGCAATGGTGTTTGGGTTAAAATGTGAATTAACGGCTTGTCTTCTGTGAGGAATGAGGGGCTTTTTTTAGGGATTGTTTGGATTTTGAAGCATTTTTTGAGGAGGCTGTTGGGATGGACTTGTTAGTCCTCCTTATTTTCAGTGCTTTTTTGATTTAGGGATAGAAGCTGTTAGTTATTGGTCCCTTACTATGTTTCTTGTAAATGAAACAGAACTGGAAGATTATGTAGAACTGATGAGAAGGAAGGCCCTCACCCGTGGAAACCCCATCATGAGTTTCTGGACTTTTTTGATGAGCTTTAAAAAGCTTGTATTTCAAACTGGGCACATGCATTTCCCACCTGTGTGTCAGCCCCTGCTTCCCTCCAGACTTGGGCTGTCCCTCATGGTGAGCGAGGTGCTAAAATGGGACCTTCTACCATCTGACAGAGAGAGTCTGAGAGCACTTTGGCCAAACAAAGGTCTTAGGAAATTGGCTCCTGATGAAGATGCTACAGATCTCTAACCTTTAGTCTAGGAGAATGGGCCTTAAATTCATCGTGAGGGATATTCAGAGTTACTGGTAACCCGGCGGTAGCAAAAAACTACTCATGGGGAGGAAGGAGGATTGAAGACAGCGGACTGTGAAGGTGGGGTTTGGGGAAGAACAGGTAAGGATGGGGCCTCCTGGCATGGCAGGGAGGTGGGAGGGCCATAGGAGGTTGTCTAATGAAGCATAAGTGACATTGCTCTTGTGAGAAGGGCAGCAAACGTGGGCAATGCTTCCTGAAGACCCTTGTCAGAAGCCTGGTGGTCCCCCATCTGCTTTCAGCATTGGCTGTTGTCATCCTTCATGTCTTGCTCCAGTAGAAATTAAAATCTTTTTCATCCTTAGGCAAAGCCAGTTGCCAGACTCCCCACCAGACTCTGGATCAGAACCATGTTCTCCACCACAGCTACAAAGTAGGTGACATGAATTGTTTCCCCCAAGCTTGTAGCAAGGTCTCCAGCTCCTCTCCCGTGTTCTTATTTTCTTGTCCATTTATTTCCTGCAGCCCCACGGTATGATACTACGTGGCCCAGTGGGCTGCAGCCTCCGCCCCCATGCCCTTCTGCTGTGGCACCCAGCAAGCTTCCCTGCAGGTTCATGGAGGCTTACCCTGACCCCAGTGCCATTGGGCATCCTTGCAGCATCTCCCAAGGCTGCTGGCCGAAGACGGAAAATGCTGTGACTCCTTGGAATCATTCTACATCCTCCAGCTCTTTGGGTTTTAATTATTCATACTTTCAGCCTAATGCATCTCAGATTTCTGGGTAAACGATAAAGCTTTTATGCAAAGGATGAGAAAGATACGAAAGAAAAGTAGGACTGGTAGAAGACATGGTTTAAGACTGGTTGTAAATCCCTGTGGGTGTAGGGTTTTCCACAGGATGGCAGTGTTTAGACATTTTTGAGGTGCTTGTGGTTGAGGGTTCTTTAAAACATCTTGATTGCAGTTCAAATTGGAAGTAGGAATGGATTTCAATTTTTAAAATGTTAGCAGGCTAAGGAGGGTTCAACATGTACTTTATAACTGGATGATAGAAATACTTATGTGTTTTGCAGCACCCATTTTAGGGATTTGTCCAGAAGTATCTTGTAAGTATTCTAGTAAGTGACATAAGAGAAAAAAAAAAGTCCTACCTATGGAGGCAAGTGAAATGGTATTCATGTAACATCTGCTGTATTAACTCACCAGTATGTTTTGGATGCTTAATTATTTAATATACACCAGTATTTTAACATTAACTGGTAAAATACGCTAGTGCAACCATGATACCCAGTAAGGATGCACTGACATGGAGAAACCTTAGTTTGAGTTCCTGCTGGTCCTCACTGAGACTTGGAATTTGACTTATTTTTTTCCCCCATCCAGAAGGAATGATGTGTTAGGATATTCTAGTTTACATTATATAGTATCAAAACTTTGAAATAAGGTTTTTTCCTTTTGCACAAGGAAACTTTTTTTGAAATCTCGCTCCCTAGGAAAAGGGAAACCTGTTACCTGCTACTGATGTTTTCTGTACAGGAATGAAAATGCATTCATGCTCAGTGCAGTATGATTATTCGAGATAAAAGCTGTGATTTTAATGCAGATGCCAGGACACAGTAGCCCCTGCCACTTATGCACTGTGTAAATTTTTAAAAAGAGATAAATTTCTTTATTCATATGAAATAAAAACATAAATTATGTTTTGGAAGGAAAAAATGGGATAATTCAGTTTTAAAAAGCCAATAATAATTTCCTCCCCTTAAGGAATCAGAATTTTGGTGACAATGCAGTTAAAACAGGATCACAGATACATGGGTGTTCTCTTGTTATGATTCTGCAATATCTGTATTTAAACTTATAAACAAGTAATGCAACATGTGTTTCTAAAAAGTATTTCTGCAGCACCAGGCAAAAAAAGGAAGCTTTCCCAATTACTGAGTGATGTCACTTATTCTCCAGTGCAGTCTCAGGACTCCAGACAAGGTAAGAAACTTTGTGAAGATGAAATTTAACGTTTTATGCCGTAGACAATTGAATACTTTAAGAGAACAACTCCTGCTGGCTCTGAAAAGGTAGTGGTATTAATGGTCTGTACTCCACTACCAGGTTTGGAGGAATTTACCTCTTCAGTGATTTGGAAAACCAGGACCTATTTATTTTTGGTGGAGAAGCGTTAGAGGTTTGTGTTCCTTGAGGATTCTCTGGACAGAATATTCTGCCCTTTTCTATGTGTGAGTGAACCTTTAGGACACAGATGATACCACACTCTGCTGACTTTGCTTGGCGCTAAGTTGACTGGGCAAAGAAACCATCTTGGGTCAGCTTAACAAGGAATTAGTGTGGTAGATGAGTAAAGAGATTTCAGTTTCCCTTTATCACTTCCACTCCATATTTTTTTCCACAGTGTATCCATGCGCAAACTTGGTGAAAGATGTTCTTTCCCACCTCTTCCCCAAATTAATTTGGTTCATTGTTTTATCACGATAAGAATGCTAAGCTTAGAGCAATTGATGCACAAAGTCTTATCAGGCACATACAGAAATGAATCAGCTTCTGTGAAGTGTGAAGCTCTCTACAAGTGATCAGTTTGTAATGAACAGTTTATCTGAGGAATTTTCACCCATGTCTGTTAGTGAAAAATCTGAGAGTTGCTTGTTATTTCTTCAGAGTATGTTATTTTTCAGCCTTAAATCGATCTTTTAGAATACTTTTAATGAGTAACAACTGGATTTAGTTGGTTACTTTTCCTTTGTTATCTATTATTTGATCAGTGTTTCTTGATTGTGACTTAGTCCTCTAAGTCAACCACTGCTGGAAAGAGAAGACCAGCAGACACTTCTGTATCTAAAATTGCTATTGCTGGTGTTAATGCTTAAAGACATAGCTTTGCAATAGACTTTCTTTGAATGTCACTGTTAATAAAACCTCACATGTGCATTAGATAAAGAACACAGACATTGGTAAAAATGGCGTGGGGATCATGTAGAAATAAGGTGTAAATTTCTTTACTGTGGCATTTTATGTATATCTCTATCTGTATATCTATATATATCTTTACTTGGCTGTATGCCAGAAGCAGGGACTTGCAAAAGAAGCTTGGGCCTGAAATGATTCTGTAGGCTCTGTCTTACTATGCTGTCACTGGCTGTGGGGGAATCTTAGTTTATATGCTCAGTGACATATTTTCTCCAGTCCTTACTGCACTCTATTTATCTGTCTCTCTTATCACATTCTCCTCTCTCTTCATAAAATGTAAATATCAGAGAATGGTGGTTAACCCTGTCTATCTCAGAAATTTATAATTTATAGTATGAAAGCAGTAACCAGATCAACCAGATGTAGTGGCGAATGTGCTTGCTGTTGGAAAACTATGCCTCCTGCTATTTGTTCTTCAGTTTCAATCTGTAGTAGAGAGAATGAGAAACAAATGTAATTATTTTGCTTATTTACTTCTTGCAGTGTTGCAGACGGACAGTAAAATGCTTAGCTTTCCTGTTCCCCCCTCCTCAAAGGAAACTATCCATCCTTTTGGGGAGAATAAAAAATAGGAAGTGCTATTTGTGTAATATTTTGCAAATCAGGAAAGCTGAAAATTTTATTTTCTAGAGCAAGGGAATATACACAATCTTTTGGAATGACTGCAAAGGACAATCAGATTTAAGTATATATGCAATGCATTTATGAGTTATATGTATGTGTATATATGTAAGTATATTAATAAAAATGCTTATGTAGGATTTCTGGCTAGTTCCAAAAGTAATAACTGAATTGTCACTATCTCTCTACAGCAACTGTTAAGGACTGTGCTGCTGAAGTGCAAGAATATGACAGTGATGGACAGAATGCAGCCTTGGAAAAATGCTGTCAAGCTCTAACATGGCAACCATATCAAATTTCCCAGTGGAACAGCTTATTTAACTCTAATTATGAAAAACTGTAAGCACTGATGTTTGCACCTGAAAACGTGATTCCTTATGGGGTTTTTTTCCTTTTCTTTTTTTTTTTCCCCTGTTATTGTAGTTTTGTAGGAATAACCAATACATTTGGCATCCTTTGTTCTTTCTGGAAATAAGATCATAGAAAGAAATATAACAGGCATGATGAAGTATGAACTTGCAGATCTTTAAACACTGGTTGAAATTCATGGCAGGTTTTCTGAATACCCTTCAGGGATTTAGGGACTAAAGAAAAGCGAGTTAAAATACCTATTAACTTTTTGTTTATTTTGTCAAGCTCATTGGGGCAAGTAATTACTAAACATATGGCACCTTTCCTTCTAGAGGCCTAAAACATTAAAGAAATGTGGAATTAGAAGATAGCTGTATTACTTCTGAGTTCATATAACATAAGTCTTAAAAACTACAGACATCTGTGTATGGCATGCAACTGTTTTAGTTAAAGATTTAGTTTTCCTGTATAAATCAAACTGTAAATATTTTTATTTTTTTGGCCATATGATCTGGGAAAGGTCATTCCAAGTTCACTTTACATGCCTGATTTTCTCCATTCTAATATTTAGTAAATGAACCCCTTTTCTACAACATCTGGTTAGTTCTTCAGGATTCACACACAAAATTTGTCACTGTCTCTATAGGAACTATATAGTATAGTAAATTTTAATGTTCCTCTAGCCCAACCTGCTGAAAACTCCCATGGGAGTTGGGGGTGTATCAGTGTCATTGCTGGACACTGATGTTCCCTGTTTGCACAGTGTGTGATAGGAGCATAACGCATTTTACTGTGTCCCACACAAACCCTTCTTCTAGGGTATTGACATGACAAGAGAGCAGACAGCTCAGTGTCCACCCCTTTCTACTTCGTGGGAGCTGGATGGGCCCAGAAACTTCCAACTGTGTATGTGATGTGAATTGTCACTCTAGGTTGGGAGTGGCTTCCAACTCTTGTTACACTTTCAGTCAGTGCTACATGGCAGCTGTGGGAGATTCCTCTCCTGCTGCTACCCAATTACTCGTTGGTTCCCATACACTTAAAATTGAGGTTCCAGACTGGCATTTCTTTGTGGCTTGGGTCAACAAAGACAATGTGATGCTGAGCTTGAAAGTACTCAAATACACACGCTGTTGCTATTACTGTGGAAGGGGATGGAGATGTTACTTGAGAGGAAGTCGGTATTAGTTTTAAGTGAGGTCAGCAGCAGTGCCGCTGTTCAAAGATGCATTGTAATTACAACACATTTCACAGATTTTTTTGAGTAGTGATCCTGTATTCTGTTAGCCTCAAAAGACTCATATGCTTATCATTGCTCAGTGTAGATGGATTGTTCCTGTGCCTTCAAACTGCTGTGCCCCCTTCAGGGGCATTTCTCAGGTTAATCATTATTTTCCATTTTATTCATACAGTATTTTAACCTTTTAATTATTTAATTTTCACAATAAAAATGCTGTTTGCTGAGGTGGATTCAATAGAAAAGGTTTCTCTGCCATTAATTTTGCCCTGCATTTTGTCTGATGGCATTGTCTTGGCCTCTTGCCCCATATTGGTGTGACTCTGTTCCAAAGATGTTGTCTGAAGACTTAAATTCTGAATAGAAAAAGGAATCTGAAGCATATTTCCAGTAGGGATGCTTGTGTGACAGGGATATCCCTTGCTACCTAAAAGTTATTTACTGTGAGACTCACCATTCTTTGTGCACAAAGAACAAAATATGTGTTTGCCCTTAATTACAGTAAATTACATACTCAGAAAATTATAACATGAAATTGCTCTTTGAGAGTAATTGTGCCAAACACTTCAACTTGGAGACGTGGAAATTTGTAATTTTTGCTTCTCAAGCTGTTTGTCTGCGTGCAACCGAATAGTCTGCAATTGCTTTAAGAATGAGTTAATGAACTTGCTGCACACCTGAATCTGAAAAATTTCCTTTCCCTACTATGAAATGCACACATTTCCTACATAAATAAAAAAATTACCCATTGTAGGAAGGAACTGGAGAAGTTTTATTCCTTAATAAAGATAGTTTGACTAGATGGTAGACACTTCATTTTAATTTTAAATATGAAGTAACACATGACTTAGTAGTTTTGGAATAGTTACAAAATAGTTTTCCCTTTTTTCCCTTTTTTCCCTTTTTTTCCTGTCCCAGATAATCAGGGATTGTTTGAAAGTGGACTTTTGTTCATAATTTATAAAAATATAATAAAGTCTGTATGTTTTTTATGAAGTCTGTACCTTTTGCTTTTTCCAACAAATAATATGCAAATGAAAGGAAGAGTTATGAAAATCCATCTTCACTAATTGTGTTAATGAGAGGTTCTCAGTAGCATAAGACAAGATCATCATTATCAAACTTTCATTGGCAAGAAAAGCCAATGCCTCTGTAAAAGAACCTTGCCATGTAGTCCTGTTATTTCAGAATTATCCATCACTTAAATCAAAGGACTTGAAACATTGTGGGATGGTGAGTTCACTGTCTCTTCTGGAAAGATCTTTTGATACATTTCCTTGTTTACTGTGAGTCATAAGGAGAGAATACTCTTGCTCTTTGGGTGACAAATTAACCCTTTTAATAAATAAAATAAGTTTGCTTGAGTAGCAAGGACAACATATAAAGGAGAGTTTTCTAGTCATCTGGGCAGAGGATCAGTAGCTTGAGGAAAGCCTTATTTGAATCCCAGTAGCTTCTGCAGAAGAGCTTGGTGTGGGAATTGGTGAACAAAACGGGGAGTCTTGCTGGGTCATTAGCACACTGTTGCCTGCAGCACTAACTGCAGACTGTTGTTTATAGCAATGTTATAATGAACAATTGAATACACTAAAAGGTTTGTGATTTTAGATGCACAGATTTCATAGAATCATGGAATTAACTGGCTTGGAAGAGACCTCCGTAATCATCAAGTCCAACCCTTGATCCAACCCCTCTGTGATTACTAGATCATGGCACTCAGTGCCACATCCAGCCTCATCTTAAAAACCTCCAGGGACGGTGAATCCACCACCTCTCTGGGCAGGCCATTCCAATGCCTGATCACTCTCTCTGTAAAGAACTTCTTTCTAATATCCAACCTAAACCTCCCCTGGTTTAAGCCCGTGCCCTCTTGTCCTAACATCCTTTATATCAGATTTGTAAGGGAGGATTCTGTAAGCCTCTCCACCTCTGGTTTCCAAACATTTCATGTGTCACATTACAATTAGAGTACACATTATATGCATTTTCATTTTTACACTTAAGAGAAACTATGAAGAAAACTCTGGTAGAACTGGTGATTGTAAGGATGTGTTTCAGCTCCCATTTTGCCCTTAGAAATCAGATGGATTTTCAGACCACATAAAAAACCAGAAACTCGAGATGTCACTAAAATATATCAGTACTTAAAGTTGCTATTCTTTCTTCTTTTTTTTTGTTGTAGACCTGCTGTAGGATATCACATTGTCACAGATAAAGGGTTTAATTTTTCAACAGCAGATGATGCCTTTGTGTGCCAGAAGAAGAATCATTTCCAAATCACAGTCCATATTAGAATCACTGGACATCCAAAATATGTCAAAACGCAGCTGGGAGGAAAACCAATAGAAAAGTTTTACTTGAAAGCTTATGGAATTAAGGTGAGTGTTTATCTTCTTTGAGATTATTACTTTTAGTTATCCATATAATGAGGTAATTTTTGACCACCATCTGACAAAGGAGAACTCTTTCAAGCTACTAGTGACTTCTGTGTGGAACAGAATTCCCAGTATGGGTCCAAAAACCCACATATACAGAAGTAGTAAGAAATTGTAATCTGTCTGAAAGATTTTACCAGTTTTTTTTTTTTTACTTACTACCAACATTCAGTGATTTTAAAAAATCCATGGAGCTGTTTTACATGGCAGTTACTGCCAGTTTTGCCTAATGCATTCTAATGCAGAGGAAATTAGTGAATGTTTCTGTCATTTGTTTCCATCTGAAGCAGAGTGCTGCTTGGCACCATTCCAGAAAGGTACAGAAGTTGATGTTAAAATAATGTATGGAACATGGAGCTACCTTATGTAGGTTTAGTTCTCATGCTGAATATCTGCATTTATGCTTTGGCATAGAATGAGCCAATACCAGTCTGGATTCAGAAAGCAATTTTTCTTTTGCAAATTAATGCAGGGATTTCCTTTTTTTTTTTTTTTTTTCTTTCAAATTGCATCCACAGAAAGATTTAGATCTTCAGACTAACTGTCAATTATCCAATCAATCCTGTCAGTTCCTGTATTAATTTCTATGTAGTTCCATTAGAAATGAGAGAGATTTCACTGTTTCAGACAAAATTTGCCTATTAATTTCTATTTCCATTTTTATGTGTTTGAAAATTTAATGTTCTTGTCATTTTTTAAAATTATTTTTCCTTTGTAGGTGGAAGCTCCAAATCAAACAATTACTATTGAGCAGTCTCAGTCAGATCGCAGCAAAAAAACTTTCCATCCTGTTAAGTAAGAATTTTGAGAAAATTATTCTATTTTATTTCAAGTATGTTGTTGGTTTGAAATGTGAAGTAGTTGTTTCTTGAAAACTTCTAGTAGCTCTAAGCCAGTTTTCTGATTTTTGTCCAAATTCAATTCTGGGTACAGAGACAGAATCACAATAGTAACATATACCTGGTTGCCCTTCAGTAAGGAAAATTTTCAGCAACTTTACAAATTTGCTAAGTATGTCTATCAAAAATATTTATATTCAGCTAGCACGCTCCTGTATGCTGCTGTACGGCAGATGTGTTTCGAATCTTAAAAAATGTTCCTGCCCTGCATGGGCATGAGATATATTTGCACTGCTTTTAAGGGGGAGTGCATCTGCTAGAAACACACATGCAGCATCTTCCTGGAATTCTGCCATTCTTCAGCAGCTTAACTCACTGGCAAAATCAATATTTATTCTTCTGGCATAAGTGTCTTCTGTTGGAGCTGGTGTGTTCTCTATAAATAATTAAATCAGCCTTATAACACAAAGAGATAAGACAGTGTCAAGTTAGACAGGACAGTGCTGGGATAAAGGCTGTGCTACAATATTAGCAAAACTCAACTTTGAGCTTGGAGAAGAGCTTGATTTTCACTAAATTATCACTATGATGACATTTTTCTTCCTTTTGCCTACTGACAAATAGGTTCTGTGTGTATGTAAATTGTTTCATATGTGACTGGTGGATTGTAGTTTTATCTGTGCAAGCTCTGTATTATTTATCACTTACAGGAGCAGTACCACTATGTATTTGAGACAAGGGTGACTATTTTGTACTTCCAGATACACAGATCAGGTGCAGTTAAGAAAAAGGACAAGCAGTAAAATCTATTAATTTTAATGTGGAAAGTCAGGTCCAATAATAAGCAAGCAGCCGTTAACCTTGGCAAACAGCAAAAAGCCATCATATGGAACACATACATTTATTGTGTTCAAGATAAACAGACCAAGAAACACAAAACTCTTAGTAATAAGAACAGTCAGACACTGCTGGTGCTTTGTCTTGTTTATCTCCTAGATGTAGTCACTCTTTTTAATATGTTTTTAGAAACCAAGGATACTGCATTTTTACTGGGGTTCCTCTGTTTTTTTCATTTGTCAGTTTTTCTTAGAACTGTTTTAGTAAGTTTGAGGAAATCTGACTTGAGCAGGTAGATCACCAAATGCTTACTTCTCTGATCTTGTTTCCTTTTGTGTTATAGAGTTGATCTGCCAGGGGACCAGGTGACTAAAATAACACTGGGAAGGCTGCATTTCAGTGAAACAACAGCAAATAATATGAGAAAAAAGGGGAAACCTAATCCTGATCAGAGGTATTGCTGTAGCTAGTTGGCCTGTGTGTTGGAAGTGGAAAAGAGAAGGTCTACTTTAGAATGAAGCTAATGTTTGTGGAAAATCTCAGTATTATCAAATTTTATTTGAAATTCTGTGGTACTTGTTATCTGCTTAAAGGCCTCATTCTCTAGAGTTACAGAATTATATGAGAATTAAAAACCCCCAAACCTCATCCTCATGGTTAGAGATCGTTTCTGGAAATCATAGGCAGAAATGGCTGGCAAAGTCAGGAGGCCAAAAAATCATATAATGATCATTTTCTTCTGAGGAAAGAAAGGTTTTCCTCTTTGAATCTTTATTACTTAAATTTTTCAAAATTACTGTAACTTGGTTAATTTTTAGTGATTGTGGTGATTGTAAGAGCATACTTCTTGAGAGTGAAAAAAACCCTTTTTATTTTCTATTATAACATACACACTTTAAAAAAACATTCTGGCTCTTTTTTATGTATCTGTAATAACAACTGTATTTAAAACAATTTTTTTTTTCTGTGAGAAGGCATTAATTTAATTATTGTCTTCAATAAATTAATTTCAAATTAGATACTTCATGCTGGTAGTTGGACTGTATGCTGTCTCTCAGGACCAACTTTACCTACTATGTGCAAATGTCTCTGAAAAGATAATTGTGAGGGTAGGTATAAATTTATATTGCTTCCATGTAAAAGTAGTTACTGTTTTGATATTCACAGGAGATTATGAGGGGGCATGATTATTGGGTATAAAATTACCACTGACTCAAAAAGATCAAGGGAAAAAAATTAAAATTGTGTGTTTTATGGGTATTTTATCTTTTAATTATCAGAGTTTAAAAATGTTAAAAGTAGAGCTATAGAAGAATTTAAAAAAAAAGCTTGTTGTGTGTTCAAATACAAAATATCTTGGTTTTTCCAGATTTTTTTTTATTTGAGGAGAAACAATTTCCTCCATTTGCCAGGAATTTGGTAAATGCTTTCATTGGCTAGAGGCTTCATTTTCAAAGGAGGATGAGAAGGAAAAAAAACATAAGGAAAGAAAGCCAAGTAGCTTTAGGCAGATTAAAACCCATATCAGTCCCTTTCCAGTGTGTTTCCAGAGAGTCCCACCTCTTAATTTGGTGGTAGTAATATAGGTTTCAAATTAGAAACAGAAAGAATTAGTCTCTTTTCCTCATAATTACTACTTTTCAGTCCCCTGATCCACATAAAGTTTTCATTTCAGTACTCAGCTTTAGCCTACAGTTACACTTAAAAAAGAGAAAAAATGCAAAGCTGTGGTGTAATGGGAGCAATGGAAAATAAGGGTTAGGAGAGAGAGGAAGCACAGATCCCCAGCATGAGTGGGATTGCAAGGGGACTGCCAAGGAAAGGTGGGGGCTGCTGAAAGCTTTCAGTCCCAGCCACTCTTTCATGTGATCAGTAGTTAGTGTTAACATTTGAACTGGGCATGGTTTAGGGGTTTAGTTGTTTCTAAGATGAATATTATGCTTAGGGCTTAGAAAGATGGGAAATGTGTAGGTGCCATGTGGTGGGCTGCAAAGGATGGAGAGGACCTCTGGAAGATAGCATTTCAGTGAACTTTTTCTTGTGTATCAATTGAGAAACTGCTTCTTTTTGCATTGGCTTTTTCTAGTCCTTGGGTTACGGAGTGCAATACAGTAAGCATTTTGTTCTAGAGTCAAGAAAGACCAAGAGCTCTAGTGTATTAAGTGGGGCTGGGAAGGGGCTTCTAAAGAAAGGTGAGGGCTGTCAAAAGCTATTAGTCCTTGCATCAGTTTTTGCAGGCCATTGCTTGGGTCCTTTTTGTCAGCCCATCATCTCCCTAGGCTTATGATTATGGCCTGGTTTAGCATGTGGATTTGGAGAGAGCAAAAGGGCAAATCTCCAGCATGGGGGGTGTTGCACAGGGGTTTCCAAAGGAAGACGAGGGCTTTCAGATGTTTTCAGTCCTGGCTCCTTTTATGTCTGAGTGTCCTCTTGTGCCATAAACCCTCTTCCTGCAGTTATGGTTAGGTTTTTGGAGGGCAGTAAGGCTGAGAACTCCTTTCTGGGCAGAGCCGTGAAAGGACTTTGAAAGCAGTGTTTGGAGCTCAGCAGTTCTCTGCCCAGCTGAGAAGTTTTATCATCCTGGCCATTGCTGTGGTTCTTTTTATTTCTGGAAACTGAAGCACTGTGTTTGCATCATTCCTGCATATATAGGTATTTTCCTCTTTTTGTCCATTAATTTCCACAATACTGCTTTCATCCAAATTTCTCTTTCTGGATCTACAGTGTCACAGATATCACCTCTTTACTCGTTTGGGAAAGCTGTTCCATTCTCACATTTGACTTACTCTTTTTGTCTGACAAGATATATATTTTTAAGTATGATTTAGAAATTTACATTTTCCTATTATTTTTAATATTAGGTTCTTTTGAAATGTCAAGGAAGAGGGCTCCTTCAATGTGTGTGAGACAGTTTTTTAATAGGAATCCATGGAATGAGATTTTGCAAACATGGCCACTGTTTCAGACAAGGGAAAACGAAGGTAGAAAAGCAGAAAGATCAAGTGGCTGTGATCTGAGGTGGTGAAAATATCAACAGGAAAGCTAAAAAGAAAGAAAAGTCATTTTCCAGATGTCTAACAGGGCTTCAGTGGCAGGGTAAAGTGAGTCAGCCACTGGCTCTGCCTTAAAGTGGCTAAGCTGTACAAATGCACTGCGAAAGAAAGCAGCTCATGTTCTGGCCCTTTATACACTAAAACACAACAAAGCTGTCGGCTGAGTAGTGGTTGTCAGGCATATCAGATCATGCTCTAATTGTGACAAACAGTGGTGAGTTCACAGCACTATGCCTTGTAGATGGCAAAGCCTTGTGAAAGCCTGCCTTCTTTAAAAGGCAGGCCTTCTGACTGCAAACTTTTTATCATGATCATACTTTTGTTCAGACTCAAATTTTAAAACCTGAATTCAAAATTAAAAAAATACCAAAACCAATCTGAAATTAATTATGGAAATCAAATGCCTTTTCTAGTTATACATGTTCTGTTGTTTTATTGTTGTTCTTTGAAAGACCCCATTTCTTTAACATTAAATTTCTAATATGAGTTAATTTAGAACATTACAGAGAATTTTATAAATAACACGTATTTAATATCTGCCTTGTTTGCTCTTTTCTGATTTCCATTCTGCTAAATTTACTGGTAAATAAAGAGTGGTTATGTGGCATAACATCAAAGATAAAATTTGGAAAGCTTTGGATATTGACAATTTAGCTTAATGTGATAATAAAGTAGAATGCAAAGGAAAAAGCAATGAGGCCAATGCTTTGTGAGCAGAAACACTTCAAAGTGACTCCACTCTGTTTTTTAATGTTGGTGTGTTAGAAAAGCTCTTGAATACAATTTGAATATTAAAGATTTGGCATTTCGTTTTCCCCGAATTACTAATGGAAGAAGCAATAGTACATCCATTCTATACTATATCTTTAGACACAAATTTTTCTTCCAGGCATCTAATCCAGGGCAGTTTGAGAATGACACTGATGCGCTGTGGCAGCGAGGACACGTTCCAGAGACGATAGTCTATCATGGTCGAGTAGGAATTAACACAGATGCACCAGACGAAGCACTGGTTGTCTGCGGAAATGCAAAAGTTATGGGCAGAGTCATGCATCCATCTGACAGCCGAGCAAAACAGAATATCCGGGAGGTGAGGGCTGTGGAGGATCTAGGGCACTTATGATTGCACCACAGCACATGTGTGGATCATTGTTCTGACACGTGAAGCAGATTCTTTATCCTGGTTGTGCTGAAATGCAGGCCTAAAGAAATCAGATGTACCACTATGCTCTGTAGAACCACTGCCTGTGGACTTGGGAAGAGGCTGTCCATGGAAGCTGGGAGTTGTCAGACTGAAGGGTAACTGGCAATACAAATACAAACAGCACTTTGATAATGGGGAATGGGAAGATTGTCCATATTTTTCAATGTGAAGATCAGCCAAATGATTGTGTCAGGCTAGTTGCTATCTCAGTGATGTCCTAGATGCCGTTCTTACTGTTTCAACATGTAAATCTTGGTATTTGTCCAACTAGGTCGATACAAATGAGCAGTTGAGAAGAATAACACAAATGAGGCTGGTGGAATATGACTACAAGCCTGAATTTGCATCTGTTATGGGAATAAAAGATACCCATGAAACAGGTATTCAGTCTGCTGTGTTCCCATTTTTCGTTAACGTCCATCCATTGTGCCATAGTGCCTTTTAACACCCTGCTATTTCATCCTCATTTCTTATGATACTACAATTGCATGTTTTGCTGTGTATCTCTTGTGATATAAAACATGCCCAAATCAAGTCTTTCTGGCAATTTTACAACTTCTGTTTCAACTTCTAAAAGTGGAAGGTTATTTTTCCAGAGAAATTTGTATAAAAATTCAATGAGAATGAAGTACATGATTACAAACAATTTTGTTCTTGTTGAAGAGAAATCAGAATTCTAAAGGTTTCTGGTTTTTATACTGTGGAATGGAAAAAAAAAAAGTGAAATCCTGGATTTTTCTACCAGAGAGAAATTCTAGATCATCTTTTGCTCTGCTTTAACTTTTAGGGTGGTCAACAGAAAGTACATAATCATAGTCAATGGCAAGCCACTGTGCCTCCTGACATTAGTTTTTCTTATCTTGTGAACAGGAATAATAGCACAGGAAGTGAAGGAACTTTTACCTGAAGCTGTTAGAGAAGTTGGAGATGTTGCTTGTGATGATGGAGAAAAAATAGAAAACTTCCTCATGGTTGACAAGGTATGGTCTTGAAGAAAAAGAACCTGGTTACAATATAAAGATACAATATAAAGATATAGAAGATAAAAGGAAAAAACCTAACTTTTATTCAGAAAAGTGGAGAGTGATTTCATAGCATTGGTTCAACAGGTGGGGTTCCAAAATACTCTTTTGTGTTTAAGTTTTTCAGTTAATAAAGTGTTCCAGAAGTGAGCTAAGCAATGATGGCATTCTGTTTGTTATATAAGAACTTCCTTACTCTAATCCTGGTATAACCTCCACATACCAATTACAAACGCTAGCTCTGTGTGCAGTTTTTTTTGGCAATCTGAAATCCTTATTATAGCTTCAAAATCATATACTATGAAATGTTTATGGCACACAAAGGTATTACCATGCTCATAGGTTGGAAGCAATGCCTTAGTCACACAGGACTGCAGACAGCGCTTGTCCAGAACAGAGCAGCCCCTCTGTTGAGTGCTGGTTCATTACAGGCCAAGGACCACTTCCCAGCTTTCCCCCACTTAGAGCTGATAATGAGAAGAGGGAAGTTTTACAGATTGGTAACCTTATCTTGTCTGGATGATATCATGAACACAATCCTGCATTCATTGTCATATTGCATTCTTTCATTATTCTCTAGAAAACACAAGTTTACGCCACCAAAGTTGGAGAAAATACCTATTAAAAATTTTGTATTTCACTAGTCTTCTGACAGTCTACAAATAAGTTAAATTCATAGGTTAAATCTTCTAGGTTGTATTCCATATAAAAGAAGCATGAAGAAGATACCTTGAATAAAGCTGTGGAAAGAACACTTTTTGGTGATACTGTTGAAAAGGAAACTTAAAACATTGCTGAATTTGGTCAGAGTTCCAACCAATTTCTAGATGGTCAGAGAAGAACAGTGCTGTCTGATCATGACACTAAGTTAATTTTGCTCTTTAGCCCTTCCTGTTGCACTGTGTGACAGCTGCATCATCATTTGCATTTTTAAGCCCCCACACAATTGCTTTGTCACTTTTTGGTTTTTTTCTGACAAAATTTTAGGTTGGACAATTGAGCTTTTGATTTACATCTCTGTTTTGCTGAAATATCACTCAAAATACCATCTCAAACAGTCCCTCACAGCACTGCTGTTTGGGCCTATCATGTTGCCTTTCTCTTCTGTACCTTAGGTCTCTAGATAATGCTTGCCAGGATGTCTTCTAGGGATGTGACCTAGCAAATGAAGAGAACCTACTTTCTACTTCACACTCTGCAGAGTGTTATTCTGCTATGTATGTGGCCCAAGCAGGAATAAATAGGCTGTTACAGGAATGGCTTATTTGCTGCTTAGCATTTTCTTGACTACTTGTCCAGAGCTGGAATTCCTTCACAGACATTTCAGGTAGATCTGTGGTTTCTCCTCTTTCTCCTACCACGTGTGGCACAGCATGTGAATGTCAATTCTGTGACCTTTAGGGTGACAGGGTCAGGAGAGATCTGTGTCTAACACTTTAAGATGTATATTGAATTCAGAGATTTGGAACATCTGTTGTCCAGGTTGATTTAAATTTCTGGAGCTCCAAACTCCAGAATAGCTGAGCACCTTGAGTAGCAAATGGACAGTGCCCCATATTTTTGCTTTCAGTTTGACAGGTGATGAGGCCTGGAACTTTATTATCTCATATTCCAGGTTTAGTTCGGGATAAGTGGGCTATTGGCTATTGTTGTTTCTGTCTCTTTGTCAGTCACCTGTTTGGAACTGTTAAACTCTGTAAAATTTGACTACATTGCACATTTGTAGCAGGCTCTGCTGCTTTTTAGAGAAATGTCTCAACTGTGTGAAATTTGCTATTTTGAGACAATATTTTCTTCTCAGTCTCACTGTGCTCCTTGTCACCAGTGAGGCAGTAAAACTCTAATCAGTACTTTTTTTCCCCAAGAAAGTATTGCTTCATTGTACACATGAGCCATTTTCTCAGCTGGTTGAGGCCACCTAGAAGTGATTCATGCATGATTTGAAGAGAATGGAAAGGGCAGCTGCTGCATATCATTGATAGGAGGACAAGCGACCATATAAATGATTTCACAGCTCTAGGCACAAGAGATTATTTTGAAATCACTTTTTAGTTAAACAGGCTGTTACTCTTCTGGCAGTAGGGAAGTTTGCAACTTACTGCTTTATAACTGTGCTCCGATTCTGCTTGTACAAAATACTGTCTGGTTTTCTGGAATGCAGTCACCTTTAAAAAAAAGGTGTGTGTGGCATTTACAACATGAAAGGCAAAACTGCTTTTTCTGATCTTCTGCATAACTTGACTGGATTGGAACACTTCATAACATTAACTGCAGTAATAGCTTCATCCAAGGTTTAATGGCATCAGTCTGGTTGCATATTTGTATGAGAAAGCCATTCTTTCAAATACAGCTGAGAAAGTACGCTGCTACCATGCTTTTATAGCAGATCAGTACCCATTTTTGTCTCAGAAATGGATAAAATACTGCGTGGATGGTTGTACTGAGGGCTTCTCTAGCAGCAGATTAATATCTAGAAGATAAGCAGGAGTAGAAGAACAGAAGGGTCTTCATGGGTAAAATATTCAGGAATAAATGGAGGGTGTTTGAACTGTGTTTCAGAGCTAATTGTGATAACAACTTACAAGACTCTTGTAAGAGACTGGAGAAGCTGAAGGGGAGAGCAAAATATGATGCCATCACATCTTGAGCTATGTTTTGGTTTTTTCCCTTCTCACTGATCCCTGTGTGATTAGCATTATGCATACAACATGGGTAGAAACTTGCTTGTCTGATCCTACTTAATACCTGTAGGAAGATGGTTGGATGTACATTTTACTAGGGGATTCTGAAATCTTTGTTCAGCTGCAGCACTGAAAATCAAATAGCAGATGCCTGTTGTGACAGTGTCAAAGTTTAAAATTCAATATAGTGTGAAGGTATAATATAGCTTAAATTCTTAGTCTGAAAAGCCCTTTATATTCTTCAAATTTTTCTGCAAGTTCTCATTTTCAATTTACTACCTAATGAACATCTAGAAAAAGGGTTTTATATGTGCATCCCATTTACAGTGAGAACTTGTGTTTGCATTTTAAATATTCAATGTGTCCTTACATAGGTGCATTCTGTGCTCATTTCTGCTTGCTATATCTGACTGATGAATATACTCTATCTACTTTTGTCATTGTTTTGTTTCTTAGGATCAGATCTTTATGGAGAATGTTGGTGCTGTAAAGCAACTTTGTAAAGTAACGAACAATCTTGAAGTCAGAATAGAAGAACTGGAACAGTGGAACAGGAAACTGGCCAGGCTGAAACGGATAAACAGTTTAAAGTCAACAGTCAGTGAAGAGAGCAAAGTCAGGTACCTCTCATAGTTGTCACACAAATTTGTAAAGTGATCTCTGTGATAGAAATGAAAACCAATTTTGCTTGACAGTGGAGTTCATCTTATTTCCAACATTTAAGTTCTGCAACCCCCCTGAATTTCTCATATTTTTTTAACTCACTGACAAAATTAATATTTGAAATGGCTGTTAAATTGTAGTAATTTTTGCAATTGTTGCAGTTGCATAAAGAAAGGGTAGACTATATCCAGTTACAGGTCTGGATTTGGAAATTGCTTCTAAGACAAATCTGCAGAGCTTCTGCTAGAAAGAATCTTCATTAGTGCTTCAGTGGAAATGAGCATTTCCTGTTTCTAAGCCATTTCCCCAGGTTTTCGTTGAAATCAAATGTAGCATTTAATAGCATTCACCTGAATGAGTTAACTGGATGCCTTTGTGCTTGAAAATGAATCTGATGACACTTCTGCCTTTCTCTTTGTAAATGTTAAAATTGCTAAATTTTAGCAATTTTGCTAAAGCAAGTGACATTAGCACTCTATTGAAAATGTCTTTTTTTCATTTATTAGTTGCTGATGGATTTGAATGTTAAACAGATCTTGTCTCTTACAGCAGATACAGTCAAGCTACTAGTTTTTTGCCATCAAAAAAATCAGTCCCGCTAAAATCCAGCAAGGTGAGTGAAATTAAATATATGGAATATGTTTATGAGAAAGTAACTGCTGAAATATTGGTGAAAGCTTTCGTATTTGTAAATATATAATCAATTCCTTATCCAGGATTATTTAGTGTCATGCTAGAAGCTTAAAAATTAACTGTACTGAGATAGATATTATGTATGAGACACCTCTACTTCTTATCTATACATAGTCTCTGTGAGAGTAGGTCCATGCTGCATGGTGTGAAGGAGGAAGGAAACCTACAGGACAGGAATGCTCAGCCTGTAGTTGTGCTCACATGGTGTAGTGCAGCCTTACATAGAAATGCTCATTTTGATTTGAAATTGTGCGCAATGATGCTGATTCTTCCTCAGCTTTCATCCTTGTGTGAGTCTTTCACTGTGGTTTCTAGTTATCAGCTCCTGTTTTGTACTGGATAATGATGTCTTTCAGGTGGTTAAGACCTGAAGGCTAAGATGATACTGCTATTGCTGAATTACTCATATCATGGTATAGAAAGCACACACCCCTTTCACAGGGATTGGCTGAGTTAGGAAATATATGTTGACCTTTTAAAAGACAATCTTCCTACTCTACCAAATCCTGTTCTTTAAGATGAACCAATGCTCATTTGCCTACCTTGCTTTTGCCAGTGCCAAAGAGCAAGAGAAAATAATAGGTCAAATATTCTTTGTTTCATAATGACAATCAAATGTTTCATCATCTAAGATCATTTTACTTGTTTGTAAAGTACCTTTCTTCTGTATTTACACCAGCCCTGGTTTAACATGGTCTGAATACACACTGAAAGCTGCTGAGCTTTTAACTTTTAGCTACTGCTTACTGAGTTCTTCCTTTGATTCTGAAATTCTTCAATATGAAGAAGAATGGACAAGGAGCTGTTACTATTTTTAACTATCCTTTCTTCCTTTGCAATGTTTGTGTCCCCAGACTATCAGCAGTGCACAGTGCACTCACAGTCTAAGGCAGCCTTTCATTACTGAAGTTTTTCTCCTTAGATGAGTACCACTATATAAGGATGACTTGTATGGTTTCTATGAAAGAAAGAAAGGTGACTCAAAGTCAGACTAGTGTAGTATTTCCTAATCTACTAGTAGTAGCTTAGTTATGTGCCACTTAAATTAAGCAAACTTTTTTTTTTTCTAGGTTTGTTTGTCTAAAACCAAAGAATCTTGCTCCATGAAGATTTTCCGGGTGACTATAGTAGCTTTGATTGCTATTATGGCACTATGGTAACAATTACTTATCAACAAGTTGACTTGTTTCTCCCTTCCCCTTTCGACTTATCAGAAAGAAGATAGCACTTATTTTTCTTCTTTTCATCCTTCCTGCTCAAAGAACACAATATATTAAAATTAACAGTGAATATGCCTGGTGATATTGGAGAGTTGAAATAATTTTATAAAAGTGAAATGTGCATGTGGTGCACAGACAACTAATCTCTGTCCATGTCACACTGTATGGTGCACCTTGAATGTGCCTCAAAAGGGAAAGTGGATATTTGGGCAAGGTGCTACCCAGGTATTATTCATATTATGTTACATAAGAGATGGATGTAAAGCTACAGAATAATTCTCTTTCTACAGTGCTTTGACAATATGGAGCCTGTATTTACTTAGCATTCATGACAGACGTTTTGAAAAACCTCCGGTTTACAGGCAAGTAGTTAAATTAGCATTAGTGAATTCTAATTAGTAGAATTAGTAATAGATTGTGGACCAATTTGTTTTGGTCCTCAACTCTGATGTCTATTTCTTAATGAATTATTTTTCTTCATCTGCAGTACCTCAAGTTCTACTTTACTCTCCTCCACCACCACAACAGGTATTGGATCTCTGCTGGTCTGCATACATGTAATAGACTTTCAATTCCTGTGTTGTTATAAGATGTCAATAGACACACAGCATTTTTGATAATTTTTTTTTTTTTTTTTTTTGCTTTAGCATTTCAGATGGAAAGCACAATTTCTCCGAGCACACAGCCCATCAGCAGGATCCCTGAAGTGAATTTCTGTGACATTTTGCCTTGTGACAAGATCTATTGTTGTCCAATTCATCAACCAAAAGTCAAATCTCTAAGTTATGAAAAAAGCAATGCAAAGGAGAAACGTAAGTTGAAAAATTAATTTCTCTTATTTACAATTTGAGTAGAGACTGTATGGAGAGTGTGGGGGAAGGGGCAAGAATCTTTAAAGGTAGTTAGCTTCCTACAAAAGAGCCTAGTCCAGAGGATTTTAAAAATCCTGTTATAACTAATCATCACTGCAGTCAATAGGTTTTTGAAAAGTCTGGACAGGTTACCTTTAAGAATTTGGGGTCCTAAAATGTTTTGCCAGGTGTCACTGTTCTTCCTGGCCATTTATGGTAAATGATTTCATGTGAACTGGAAAGTCACTAATCCCTTTAAATAATCTTTGGCTACAGTTGGAGAGGAGTAGATTGGGGGTAGTACAGAGTTTTAACAGATGTTAAAAAAAAATACTTAATCGTATCACAGTGTGATGATATCTTTCCTATGGGTAGAGACACAATTCCAACTACCTGAAAACATAAAACTTACAATTAAAACTCTGATTGTTCATGCAGGGTTTTTGAGTAGCATTATTTGAAGGCAGAGCTCTATAAAATAAAATACTTTTACTGGACTGAATTCTCTTTCAGCTATTGTCTTGCCAGATGTTGTATGTGTAACGTGTGAGAAGGTGTCATTACTTATAAGAAAGGGTTAATGCATAAAGGTATGCATAAGTTGTTGGAATCTGTATTCCTCTTTACCAGTCCTTAACATTGTCAATGTCTGGAAGCATGTGTTAATATTACCAGACCAGCATTTATACTCTTCCTTTCATGGCCTTGGGAACAATTCTTGCATCACAGTTGACAAACTGAGGTGAAATTGGGGATGGATGCAGTTCAGCCTCTGAAGTTCAAATGTCTGCCAGAGCTGGCATTACTAATTGCTGTGACACTCTTAGTAGGAGCTGTTTCAATGAAACTCACCCACTGACCATTCTTTATACTGCAGACAAGCTGCATGTAAGTGGTCCTTGTGATTCTTGTGATTAGTGCTGCAGTAAGCCTGTTGCAGATACAGCTCAGTACAGTGCTTTCAGGAGGTCATACCTGAGTGATTTGTATTGCCCTGAAGCCTGAAAGAGTGTTAATTAATCAAAAAGACATTAATCTCTTTTATAAATGAGGGAACTGTAGATGGATGAAAATGAAATATGAAAACCTTCTGTCCCCAGCTGATTGCTTTTGGTATTAGGTGGAAAAAGAAGATAAGAATAAACACAAAGCATTACCTTCTCAAGGTCTTATGCTCCAAATAGCATTAAGTGTGGTTCCAAGAGCGAAAAATCAGCACAGTACATAAGCTACTGAAAAGATTTCAGTTCTGCACAAGTTTAATGAAGCTGAATGTATCCCCAGATGGAAGGTAACAATGTCAATATGAAATCCAAACAGAAGGAAAACCAACAAGCTGTTTAGTGTAGCTGCAGCCAAGATAAATGAAAAGGAAAATGTTTTCAGCACAAAAAGCCAAGAGTTAAATATGGGGAATAAGCAAGATAAACACTGGATATTTTAGAAGCATCTGACTTGTCTGATTTGTGGAAAGGTAGAACTATTTGAAATTACAGTAGAATTAAATACTAATTTAGGAGTTCATATTTAACAGACCTTTTTCTATTCCACAATGTGATACCTGAATTCTATGGTTGCAGAATGCTACTGAGTGCATCCATTGTAGCTCCTGATCCCTTGCATCTCAGATTTCTTGAGGAGAAGGCTGTTTAGGAAAGTTCAAGTACAAACAAAAGCATTCATAAGCAAGACAAAATTTATTAAACAAAAAATCAGCATATCTTTACATAGTCTAGCTTAATGTGGCCTTTTCCCCCTACACTTTATTTGTTTTAACTGGTTTCTCTGAAAGATTTAGGCTTTCAAACTCTCACTGATTTCAGTGGAACTAAGGAGTGTGAACACCCTGGAGCATTTGGGCCTTTTCTGCCCTCTGCTTCTATGCCATTAGTAGTCATTGCTCTCCCCTTAAATTTAAGTGTCACAAATAAACCAAGGGCTGTCCTTACCTTCTCTTACAGTGTTGTTTCTCCCCAGTGTCTTTCCCATCACAACTAAAGTTTGGTGAGGGCTCCTCTTGGATTTTGGTCAACCTCATGCATTCACATTTATTGCCTTCAGATGGTAGTTAACAGATTCATAGTAAGGTACCACCACCACAAGAAAACACCAGCAGATTTTTTCCATACTGCTTATAGAATATTACAATTCACCTGAATTAAAAGCAGAAAGTTTTTGAGGGGAAAGAAAAACGGATACCACATTTATCAGATGAGTTTATCTTAAGCTTATTTGAAGATAATTACATTCTTGGATGCTTTTACTTTTATATCTGTTATTGAATTGGATCTTCACACCCCACATGGGCCTTTGAGAGAGCCCTCAGAGTTACTTTATGTGAAAGAGTGGAAGTTTACCACAATTTATTCAAGGCTGCTGTAGTGCCTTTTGGTGGTTCTTGGTGTTCTCAGTTGGCACCTTGCCCTCCAGATTTAGATTGCTTCAGCTTAAAGGACAATGAAATGGTAATTTTATGATGAGTAAAAACTCAAGTAAAAATAAAGTTCTATGCTGGTTACTGACTCAGTTTAAATAGTTGAAATCTTAATGAAGTAAATCTGTCCTTATCCTGTTTTTTGTACAACATTCTGCTGCCCGCTTAATGCTTTCTTCCATCATCTGCAAAAAAATCACGGTTTTAAGTGTTTAGTAATTCAGAGTATTTAATAAACATTCCCACCAACACTTGCATGGCTGAAATATTTTTATCTAGAAGGAGCAATCTTTTACCTTTACGAGGGGATATAGCTTTTCCTACAGAGTAGTTCTCTGTTAATGAAAATGCAAAATGACAGCGTTTAATGCATTGCTAGCATATCTAGACTATTAAGAGGAATCAGAAGAAAATGGAGGAGAAATGAGAGAATGAACAGGCTTTTACCAGATCTACCTCAAAACTGACTGTACATGTAAAAGTGATTGTTCAGTAGCTATTTTTCCAAGTGTGTGGAACAGTATAATGAAATGCAACAGCAGACAACTACTAAATGCAGCAGTAACCACCAAAACTGGCAGAACTAGTAGATCCATATCATGAGCTGGTAAATAGAAAATGGATTCAAGGAATAACTGGCAGCAGTATGACAGATTCATAATAAGACACAAAACAGCTTAAAATCCCAAAGCTGATTTTGTGTTACATTGCTTCTGGGCCCTTGGATTCCAGTTGTTAATATTTTTCCATGCTTTTGGTCACCTATAGCATGAGAAAAGTCTGGATTTTCTTATTTCCCAGTACTGAAATGGAAACCAAATCTGGCATGAATAAGAAGACAGTAAGGCCAATCCAGCTATCTTGTTTCAGTCTCAGTAATAATGCATTTTGATCCTTCTTTCTGTAAAATAAACTTTTATGAAATGAAACAGTCATTTCTGTTCTAAACAACCATTGTGAAATCAGAATGTTTCTTTTGGAAAACATGGGAATGGAGTATTTTGGTATTTGAGAAACGGTTTTTGATGAAACATGTTAGTTTAGGCAAGATCAGTATTTCCCAGTGCCATCTTATTGGTTACATGTCTCTGAACAGATTCCTGACTGGCAATTGGAGTAAAAGCACAGGAATAGCATTAAACCATTTCCATGGGCTTGAAGGGCTTTTTGTTTCCCCAGGTTGTACTTTGTGATGATTATTCAAAAGACCTTTAAAGTTCACTTTTCTAGAGAAGTTTTGAGAAAATTAATAGAATAACAATTTAAAAAAAAATCATCAGCTTATATTACCCGGACGAGTTCAATGTTTGAAGTTACAGAGATGACATCAATGAATGTGGAGATTGTGTTGACAGAGCTGTTTATCAGTTTGTTTAATTCGTTTAGGCGTGTTCTCTCTGAAGTACTGGGTCAGTCCTCAGTATCTTAACATCTCTTTCAAAAACCTTAGTTGTTCTACTAATTGTTTTACCAGTTCATGTTTGTGTGCCAGATGCCTGTTATTACTAATGCAATTTTCTTACTAATAAGAAAGATGTGGCTTTATGATCATGTTTGTGCTGAAGTACCTGACTGCATGTTGACTTTCACTTTGTCTCTCTATTATAAAAATTGGTGATGTTCTCTGTGTGTGATGAAATCTTTTCTATTAGGCTATTTTTTGGAAATGTTTTAGGTATCATGTAGATTTCAAAACTCATTTCTTGTTATCTGCAAACTTATTTTGACTGTGTATATCTTCTGAATAGGGGGGCTTGGTATTTTAAAGATTTCTCTTGTGGTTATGCATGCCTTTATCCAAGAGATAATTAACAAAACATCTTCTAGTGTTGTATTCATACTTTGCTGTTACAACTGTGCAAGGCTAATTTGGGAGATGTTTGTACCTACATCCTTTCACAGGAAACAAAAGTGACATGCTACCTAAAAGAGATCCAGTCAAAAAACCCAACAGAAGACCTGATCTTGGAAATGACTGTAAGTCCTATATTTAAAGTAAATATAGTAAAAATGTATACTCGTATAACTTTCAAGAGCTACTTTTAGGCTTGAAATTCTGCTTTTGGAATTTAGAGGAATTGTATTTATAACTGATCATTATAGAGAATTAACACTTGGGAATCTATTCCCTGTGAACCACAGGAAACCTGTGATTCACTATAATTTTCAGTTTATTCTTACATTTTCATTTGTTTTTTGTAGACATTCTGACTGCCCTCTCTAGAGGGTAGGCTTGGCTTCAGACACAAAATGACAAGTGAAATTTCTTTGACAGGGGCTAAAAAGTTACAAATTACAACTGTGCTAACCCTTTAACAGCAAAATGCTTAAGGATATGAGTGTGATATTTATGTGCATGAAATGCATGACAGTGTAAAGGAAGTGTTTGGGGTTTGGATCATCTCACCTAAGGGATTCAAGTGTCAGCTGCTGAAAGGGGCCATCTCTGCCTTAGGATCCTGACACTCCCTTCCTCAGAGGAGATGAAATGAAGTTCCTAGACACAAGACTTTTGGCTATCAGTGCCAGTCTGGGCTGAAAATATTGATTCTTTTATGTAAAAATGAGTATCTGCTAATTACATATGTTATAACAGCATGCTCTGGCATTTGTTCAGTATGAGGAAGGTTATGCCTTATGTCTTTTCTGTTTATATGGATCCTCCATTTTAAGGATTGGGTTTTTTAATAAATATTTGATTAAAGATTAGGGAATATTTGGATAAGAAAACATCTATACACTAGCATGCACTTAAAGCAAGTTGCTACCCAGGGCCATGTGAGGAATAGAACACAGGTTCTGCTTATTGCCTGGATGTGTCCCAGTGGGATGATCTGGGAAAAATAATTCCACTTATAATTTTTTTTTTACATGGGTACACACCTCAGAAAAGGTCCTCTGAGGCATCACTATGATACATGTTGTAATGAGATGGTGTGTCATAGGGGAACATTATTCTTGCTAGTTCTTTGAGATGAACATGTTCAATTTCCCTTTGTCACTTAAGCTTATGTGTGGATATTTGCATGCTGGAAGTTAAATATATAATACCATACAAATGATTTGTAATCAGAGAATAGGCCAGCCTATAATCATCAAGAGGACAGAAACACAAAGCAGTGTGTGATGTGAAAAGCAGGCTTGGCCCTGCTAAACCTGGTCCTCGTATTTTCTGCATCACATTGCAAGACTTGGTGAAGGGTCTGCAGGGGAAGCCTTACAAGGAGCGGCCGAGGTCACTTTGTTCAGCCTAGAGAAGGGGATACTGAGGGGAGGTCTCCTAGTGGTCTATGGCTTCCTCATGACAGGAAGTGAAGGGGCAGGCACTGATCTCTTTGCTCTGGTGACCAGAATAGAACTTACGGGAATAGCATGAAGCTGTGTCAGGAGAGGTTTAGGCTGGATACTAGGAAAAGGTTCTTCACCCAGAGGGTGCCACCAGGGCACTGGAACAGGCTCCCCAGAGAAGTGGTCGTGACACCAAGGCTGACAGAGATCAAGAAGACTTGGGACAGCACTCGCAGACACATGGTGTCCTGTGCAGGGCTTAGAGTTGGACTCTATGATTCTTGTGGGTCCGTTCCTGCTCAGGGTTTTCTGTAATTCTGTGATTTAAAATACCAGCAGCTTGATGCTGTAGGCAACAGCTGGAGTGCAGCGATCTGCTGATAACTCCCACACTCCCTCCACACCTGGGTCCTTCCCCAGACCGTTGGCATGTCAGCCTAGTTCCACTCAAAGGGATAAAACCTGTTCAGCCTCTTCTGTTTAAGGGCCCTCCGAAGTTCAAACTGAAATGGGCTGGTTTAGGGATCTGAGATGCTGCAGGTTTAACTCTGGACCTTCACCGATTGGATGCCATAGATGTATTCAGAAGAAATAAGCCCTTCAGGATGCAGCTCAGTGCAGCGATTCCTAGGCCAGGTGTGAAAGCAGAAGCTGTGCTCCTGTGTTAGCAAGAACATTGGTTCTTGCTGCCTAACCCTCTGCAGGGCTAATCTGCCTTGGCGAAACACAGTGTCATTGTGGCTATACTCTGCACCTATACATAGAATATTACAAAGTTCTTGCAAAAACAAAAGTTCTTGCAAGTTCAAGGCAACATTTTATGAAGCAATTATAATATTCATTAAAGTTAGGTAATCTTCTTGCACATAGGAGTAGAAACAAGTTTTTTTGCCTTCCATATTATTTCTCTCAAGATAATGTTTTTCAAAGTAATGATTACTTTTATGAGGATGGCTTCTAGCACATTAAAATGAATATTGACACATTTGTGTTCTTCTTGGGCTGCCATCAAAATTGCTTTCAATGTCTGCCCAAAAGAAAATGGTAAATCTTAGGTTCCCAGGATATTTGTCCTTCCAAACTGACCAAGGATCTCATCTGCCCCATAATGACAGAATGAAGGAAATCAATCAGAGGCTTTTAAGTGAGCACTAATTTAGACCTGCAGTAAGTCCTGTAGTGGCAATCAAGACGGTAGATGCCACTGTATTAACTGCAGTTTTATTGTGCTCTTATCTAAGATTTCTTGAAACTGTTTATTGAAATAATCAAGAATAAACCATTATTGTTAATATTTTTTAGGGATTGATACAACAATCAGTTCCATACAGATTTTGGAAACTCAGCAAAGAATTGACAATCGCTATTGCAGTAAAGATCTCCAGTGCAGGTAGGTAAATTGTTTTATTACGCTTTGGTGGAATAAAATACCATTAATGTGGCATGGTTACTTTGCTGGCTCCTGCTCACAGTTGCTTACTCTAGCATGCAAGAGTCTTTGCTACCTTGTTGTATTGTTTTCTGTTTAAATGCAAATCCTAAGTGTATTAATGCAACTTTTTTTAGCTCCGGAAATTACAGCTTTGTTATTCCTGTTAACAAATACACACCCATGGATGTAGAAATCTCACTGGAAATAAAGTAAGTACAGTTAAAGAGAACACACACAAAAAGCAACAGTCGTTCCTTCTTTGATAGAAATTCTTACCTGATGTCTGTTGTGACACAAATTTGTCTTTTCAGAGGATTGGGATAAATCTATGCACAACTAAGTTCTTAATGTAGATGTCTGAGTAGATCCCTTGCTGTAGCATAGGCCCATTCTCAGCCCAATGACAACTTCACCCATTGTTACAGATATTAAAATCCAGAAGTCTTTCCTAAGTTTTTTCCTAATAATCATTTGAGCAGATATGTATGCATATATTGGCAGGACTGTGGCCTTTGGCCTAGGGTTTTGATTTTTTTAATGTATAGAAATATTATTAGGCACATACATAAATACCTCCAGAGTGCTGAGCCCTGTAAAGGGGGATTCTTGTGTAGGAACTTGTGGTAACATATAAAATTATTACAGCAGAAATAAGTAGCAGACCTAATCATCTCAGCAGGTATTTTCTCCTCGAAAGCCTACCTCCACTGGATTCTCCCAGAAGTAACAAGTCCTTTCTTTCGGAGTTCTCTGAGAAAGGCCAGTGATAGCCAGAACAGCTGCCAAGCAATCTCCTTGATGACACTTCATGACTTCTGTCTCTCCAAGAAGTGGCTTGTCCAGTCTTTTGATCTTGAATGTTATCCTTGCAAACATCTGCCTTTTTCAGATAAGAGGAAATAGAACAGTACTCCTAAGTGTCTGCTTTTTTTCTACAGCTGGTGAAGATTTGTCTTTTAAATGTATGCCATTATAAACTAATAGTACAGCCCTCCCATATAGGGATTAACACATCATTCTCAAAGTTTCACTGAATATAAATATATTTTGAATATTGGTTTGTGGTTTTGGGGAAACTGATTTTATTTTAAATAAAATAATTTTTATTCTTACTTTTCTTTGTTTCTTGAAGCACCACAGAGCCATTAATTGTATTTCTCTGCAAAGTCACCTTTGGAAATTATTGCTCCCATTATTCTTCAAGCCAAAACACTAGGAAGGATTTCCTAGAAACCACACAGGTATGATTTCTGCAGCAATACTCTGGCTTGTGGGGATCATTTTTTTAAAGTTAATGGCTGCAAAATTCTGGTCTTGGTTAAGGTAGTAGATATCTAGTGGTACTTTGAGTCTGCCAGTCATAGCTGGCTCTGGCATGGCCATAATGACATGAAATCTTTTTGTCAGAGTAATTTTTCTGCTGACTTTTATAAAAATCTATCCAGCATTTTTCTGGAAGGACAGTTTTGAGTCTCCTTCAGCCTAAGTCACTGCTATAACTCCTTATAACTTCAAAGATACTTAAAAAATGGGAATAACATCACTCAGGACTTTGAGAGATAGAGTCCTCCAAACTCGAATCTAATTTAGGTTTCTGTTATTATCTTATGGGTAATGAATCCCACTTTTAAAGTCTTCAATTTACTGGAAACAATGGTATTATTCCCCTCTATTTCTGTGTGAACAGGAGTTTACCAACAAATCCCTCTAGGGAAAACTCTTCATTTTAAAAGCAAGAGTTGTTTACATGTTATTCTCTGGATTGCTTCAATGGGAATAAGGGCTGTTAAAACATGTTAGCTTTTACCAGTAAAAAAAAAATAAATGTAGTGACCAGCTCTTGCAAACTTTTGAGCATCTCCAGTAAATTGATGAAGGCTTTAAACTCTCTTCAAATTCCCTGGAAATATAAGACTCTTTCAAGGTCCCAATTTGTCAATGTTTGCTTGGAAATGTTTATTCTGGCTAAAACAGTAGGAAAGGCATAAGCAAGGATAATATCATTTCTGAACACATTATAAGAGAAACATCCCTGAATTTGGAAGTAATTTCTGAATCTTTGTTAGATTTCTGATCTGTGGTGCCATACATAATATATTCTTAATTGTTTTTAAAATTTTTTTTGGTGCTTTGTCAAATTACAGCAGTTGAGATCCCCCCAATCTTAAGCTGCCTTTCTGATCAACTTTGCAAATACCCTTGCAAAAAGTTACAGGCTTCTCTGAAACTGCAGCAAAGCCATCAGAAAGCCAAAATTTTCCAAGTTTTGACCAAGTTTGCTGTAGTTCCAACAGAACTGAAATTAAGTCAGACATAGAGGGTTTTGCCATGCATATATGTCCTTGAAGCTTAGTGACAAAACTGGTCAAAGAGATTTCTTTTGTCAACCTGAAAACCACTTCAAAAGACTAAAGCTAACAAACCTCCAGCAGCAGTGAGCATTCAGATTTGGTGTGACTCAGACTAAAAATGCTGCCTAGTTGAAGAGGTTTCTTTCAAGAGGATTTTTGTAGGGATTGGAGAGCTTATTCCCTACCAAAAGGCAGGACAACAATCACTTGGACTCAGCAGTCTCATGTAGGTTTTATCATGTGAACATATCATCTCCAGCAGAGAGGATGTGTCAGAAAGTGAAGGGAGGAGAAAAAGATGAAAGAGTTGAGACACTAGAAGCTGATGAAATAGAAGTTGCCATGGATCATTAGGTTAAGGAGAGCTGAGGATTGAATTTTGTTTTATTCAGTGTATCATAAACATTTCAGATACAAAATATTTTGTTTAATTTGTACATGGCAGAACCCTATAAGGAAAAATAGCATGAAACCTTGCCTGTATCTGTTTTTGAAATACTGAGTGAAGACACTATTCATATCTTTAGAATTTATAGAGGACTTTTCCTTTTCTGAAAACTACTAAAGTTTCTATTCCAAGATCAGCAGAACTGCCATTTGCTGCTATTACAGCTTGAAGCTCTCAGGCCACCTGGCAAATCAGGAACAATCCCTATTTATTTTGGGATTAGCTTAGAAAACAAATGAGGGAGTTCAGTTATTCAGAGCCAGCTGAGTGTCAGTGGGAGTCAAGTACCTGTCAGTCCCTGTGCAGAGCTGCTCAGAGCAAACCCACATTTGCAGGGTTTGAAGTCAGCACTTGCGCTTTAAATACTTTGACTGTAGCTACCAAGGCTTGTTATCATAATTAATTTGCACTGCATTTGTCAATGAAATGTTTCCAGAGCCTAACCTTCTCTCCAGTTTCACAGGAAATAAGGTTATCTAATCTCTCTCATTTACCTTCTAGGGGCGTCAGCATATTTGGACTCTCCCTGTAGCTAAGTTGTATGACAGCGCGTACTATTTCCGTGTCGCTGTACCGGTAAGACTTTTCAAATGGCAATATAGCAAAAGACCAATAGCATTTGAACTGAAAGAATATCTTATATGAATCTCCTTCATTCTTCTTCTGCAGGGTTTTGCTGGCTGCTCGACAGACCCTTATTTTGCTGGAATATTTTTTACTGATTACTACTTCTACTTTTATCGGCAGTGTAACTAAAATGTTTCCGAACGTTCTGTTCTTTGGGGAAAAGATGAAGAAACTCTTGATATGAAAAAGAGACTTGTGAATGACCCAGGATATTTTTTAAACCTCTTGCTGAGTTGTATGGCATTTTCTTGTTTCTTTCACTTTTAAATAATAATAAAAAAAAAAAAAGTAGAAAAATAAAGTGTTTGGCAACAACCACAACTCTGCATTTCCAGTGTCTAAAAGGATATGAGGCAATGGAGTACATGATGTGCAAATAAAATAATCCTATTGATCATAGTGAAGTTATATGATATTGAACATATAGCAGACATATAGCTCACAAGAACAAATGGGTAGGAGTTCTGCTCAGCTGGAATACACTCCAGTTGTCACAAGATGGGAAGATGATAAAATGTTGGTTGCAGTCAGGAGACTGCTTCTGTCCTACAGGCATATGCCTTCTTTTAGTAGCTGTCCTTTTATATATATATAAATCTATTTCTTTTTCACTAACAAAGCCAAAACCAAACAGAACTCTAAAAGAGAAACATAACACTGTGCAAATGCCCTCGAAATAAGTGTTGTAAGTTAGGGAACAACAGGTCAATGCAGTGTGTCAAAACAGGTCTGTGTGTTTCTATTTCAGAAAGCAGACCCATCATTACTGTCACAGTTGTGTGATTTAATGATGCTACTGCTGTTTGAATGAGGTATGTTTCAGCTGTTTCAGCTGCATTTTTTTCCCTCTGAAACTGCACAGCAGGAATGAACTATTTACTCTTAAATTCAGGGGTTTTTTTCTTTGTTGTTTGTGATTTGTGTTAGTGTGATCAAAGAAGAGAAATTTTGAGAAGAATAATGTCTTGTCTGCACAGTTTTCTAAGTTGCATATGGATATATGCTTGCATGGGAAAAACCTTCCTGTTTATATTTAGGAAACACATTTGTAAGGAAAAGCTATTTGAATTAAATTTCACATTGGTTGCTCAAAAGGAAATCAGATGTAATAATCAAGTACAGTATAAATAGTGTTGTGGGGTATGTTTAGATCAATCATTTTGTATAGATTAGAGAAAGTAAATATAATGGAGAGACTGTAGACTTTTAAAGATTTATAATGTAAAAGTTACATTTGAACAACTGTTTTCTGAATGAAATTATTTAGCAGTGAAAGGGAAACATTAGGAAGAAAAATTCATGTCTAAAAAAGTCTTTGTAAACACCAATGTGTCTTATTTGTATATTTATTGCCTGACAGTGTGATGGGAGAATTTGTTTCTGGGCCTGCCTTTGGCATTTCTTTTGTCACTATTTTGGGATTTCCTTTAAGGAAATCCTTCTCACTGATTTTTTTTTAAAAGTATGTGCTTCAGTTGGGTTTAATTGCAATGTCTGGCTTTTTTTTCCTTAAATGGCTCACTAGTTTGATCTTAAACACATGAGATTTGTGTGTGTTTTTTGGTTTTATTTTTTTTTCCTGGGAGGTATTTATGGGGTAAACCACATGTTCTGTAATATCCCAGAGACTAACTGGACTTGGAAATCTGGATCCAAAATTGTCTAAAGTTTGTGCCTTTAGTTTTTTGTGGTCCATTCTTGTCAGAAGAGTCAACTGCTCACAGGTGATAATGCGTGTGCATTTTGAACAAAAATTGTACCTTTTTAGATCCACCTTGTTTTCATCACTGTTCTGGATTGTAATACTCTTCCCAGTGGCACAGAGCACTTCACCAGGAGAATATAAGCTCCAAGTGCTTCCTGTTATCAACAGGCTTTCTGAAATTAGAGTTTGGAGTGAGATGCATGTGGGATAGCAACTGTTCTCTTTGTTAAAAAGCTTGTGGTGATTTCTGTCCATTTTGGAGTGGAATTACAGAAGCTCCAGGAATGATTCTCTCTCCTGTATCTGCCAAGACTTCACTTTACTACGTTTGGGAAGTGAAACTCATCTTGACAGCACTGGACTGGTGACATTCTTGGCCTTCTCCCTTGTATGACATTGAACCAGAACTACTGTACAAGAATACCATGGGGAAAATATGGCATTTTCTGTCCTGTACAACCAAAGGAAGTATGGATTGACTTTTCCAAGTAAAAAGGTTCTGAAAAGTTCAAGCATGTCAACTAGGGCTTTTTTTTTTCCATTTCTGTGTTCTCAGTGATAAAGTTACAACATTTTTTAATAGCTATCAGTACAGTTTGAAACAATTTTTGTGATACTGAATAATGAATTATTGATGGTTTATGTACATTCTATTTGGAACAGGAAATTCCCTTTCCCTTATCTGTTTTTAACACAGTGTGGATGAATCATAAGAAACCTTCAGACATCCATCATTGGAATATTTCTGCTTAACTTGAGAGGGAGCTGAGGCAAAGCAAACTTCCAGTCTGTGTGACAGACACAGCCGTAAATTGCAGGAGGCAAAGGCAGGGATAGTACAGGTCAATCTGGTACCATGTGATCTGGGTCTCAAACCATGCTGCACATACCAAGAACATGATGTGGCAATTTGTATTTTTACTTGACTGTAACACAAATTATCTCACCTTGTTTTCACTAAGTTTGATCTAGAGGTGGGAGTGCCATCTAAAGTAAGAGCCTGAGATCACTTCAAAGTCTAGTGCACTAAGCAAGGAGGCTCTAAAGGCTGAAAATCTTACAAGGTCACCCCTTGAAAACCAAGGACAAGGCAGAAGAGCAGAACAAATGGTCTGAGGTGTGAATCTGCATCAGGAATTGCCAGTAGCCTTCGGGCACAGCCCCAGCTGAAACTGTAGACAGCTGTGAGCAAATAGGCATTTTGGTCTCTGACTGCAGCTCAGTTCAAATGACTCTAGTTCAGAAGATGCCTCGTAGGAAGTGAGGAGGCTGTCTGGTGAGATGATATGAGCCCACCTTGAGAAGCTAGCAATCCCAAAGCTGAATCTGGAGTTCTGCACAGTACAGGTCTGAAGCGAGATCTGGAGGTGGGCTTTAGATTAAGTCCTGCTTATCTACATTTTTCTAGGGTTTTAGCTTGCTTTATAGAATCAGAAAAATACTTTCATTAAGATTTGCTATTGGTGTTCTGCTCACAGGGCAAGAAGTTGCTCAGTCAGGAGTCACTGACTTCTTAAATTACAAACCTGTTGCATAGAATCTGAGTCAATTCAGCAGCAAAATGAAAACCTGATTTATGTCAGGTTTACTCTTTCTGATGATCTGAGTGCTGCAGTGTATTTAAAATAAGCCAGTTCATTGTAGGTATAGAAACTAGTTTCAAGATACACAAAATTAATCATAATTTATAAATTACAGTGCTGTAAAACCTTTATCTATGTTGCTTTATATGAAGACATGCTTTTATAGCACACTTGGAAACACTGAACACAACTAATGGAAACTCATAATAGGAATCATTTACTGATCTTACCTTCATCCTGGAATAATTCTATTAATGTCACAGCTAAACTGTGCTACAGAGAAACAACTTTCTTCAGATTTGTGTCCTAACAGTCTGCCACTGCAAAAGTCCCAGCTGCTCTGCTGGCTTTTGTGGATTGCTCATCCACAAGATGTTTGCTTCCTCTCATATTCCCTACCTGTTGGACAAGGCAAAAGGCAGGACAGGCTCTAATTTGAGCTGTTCTCATACTGATGGGGAATAGCTGGCTGCTCCCTCACACAGGAGTTTCCTACCTGCCTTTGGAAATATTAAATTGTTCCTGTCTGTTTCTTTCTGTGGACACCAGTTTTGGACTTTTTCACTTTTTGGCTTCAAATTTTCTTGAATCTTTTAAAAACATAATAAGACCAAGCCTATATCAAAATTGATTCTAATCAATCAGCACCTTAAAAAATATTAGTAAGCAGAACAGGGAGGCTGATCATATCACCTTGTAAATTTTATGTTCTGTTTAAACCCAGGATTTACTTCATTCCAGACAAAACAATCTTGAGTAATGTCTCTCAGATTTCTTCGGGGAGATAGCGCTTTTTGAAACAGGATGTTTGGAAAGTTTTAATTTGTAGATCCAGAGCTTTGGATAGCATTTGTGACACAAGGAGGCTGGCATGCACTCTCGTTCCTCTGTAGACCTGGGGCCACTGATGAAGCCTTCATACCTCCCTTGCTCCCTAATAAAACTTCACTAATTGTTATACTTCATGAAGGAGAAGAGGATCTGGAAATGGGTCAGTGTTATAAGAGTAAAGGTATCAGACACACTGAGATACTCAGATATTTCAGGATTATATATGTTTGGGACTAATCAAACAGGTCCTGTTTTAGTAAAATAGTGTGCTCAACACTTTTGAAAAATCCCAATCACAGAATTGTTTAGGTTGGAAAAGACCTCTGAGATCACAGAGTCCAACCTTTGACTGAACACCACCTTGTCTTGGACACTTCCAGGGTTGGTGACTCCACCACCTCCCTGGGCAGCCCATTCCAATGCTTACCCATCTTTTCCGTGAAGAAATTCTTCCTGATGTCCAACCTGAACCCTCCCTGGTACAATTCTTAGTTGCCTGGGAGAAGAGCCCGATCCCCACCTGGCTACAACCTCCTTTCAGGTAGTTGTAAAGAGTGATAAGGTCCCCCTCAGCCTCCTTTCTCCAGGCTAAACACTCCCAGCTCCCTCAGCCACTCCTCACATGACTTGTGCTCCAGGCCCTCTCCCAGCTCTGTTGCCCTTTTCTGGACATGCTTCAGCACCTCAACCTCTTTCTTGTAGTGAGGGGCCCAAAAACTGAACACAGGACTTGAGATGCAGCCTCACCAGTGCCGAGCCCAGAGGGACAATCACTTCCCTGCTCCCGTTGGCCACACTATTTCTGATACCAGCCAGGATGCCATTGGCCTTCTTGAACCCCTGGGCACGTCTGCTAGCAGGGACCTCACAGAGAAGCTGAGGCAAGCAGCTCTGACAATGCATGGGTGACACTGCTGGGTCCCACTGAGCAGTGCAGCCAGCCCAGTGAGGAGTGTATAAGTCTAGATTTAGCTTTTCAGTTTGAATTCTTTGATCTTGGCATGTTAACGCAAAGTCCTTGTTAGGCTACAAAAATGTTTCTCCAGAAAAAATGTGAATGATTTTTTTTTTCTGGACAGTGGTGATCAAGTAATTGGAAGAAACAGTTTTCACTGTTACACTTCTGCACTCCCTGCCCTGCTCTTATGCATGCATAACAATACTCTTATGCAGAGTATTTGTTAAACCCTTCTAATATGGACTGAATTAACATCTGCAAACCATCACATAATACCTAGTGCGGCAGTTGCTGGCTATGACCCATGCTCTTAAAATTGTTTAGCTGAAAGAACAGTGCTTTCTAAGGAAAGACCAAGGCATAAACGTGTCCCAGTTCTAGATCACATATATTTGTCCACTGACTTGCTTCACCTCCTGCTAAGCCTTGGGGAGTGCCAGCAGTTGGTCAGTAGCAGGTATCAGCAGCCTGGCTGATGTATCCAGGGCACTGTGGGCACTGCCTGGAACCTCAGTAAGGTTCAAGACATGCTATGGCACTTTAGTTAGTCCTAATGCGTCTTGTCCGGGTACAGTGTAGGTTAAAAAAAGAAAAATTCATGCACTCACAGCACTTCGCTCACTGATTTCTACATAAACATAGTCTCCTCTCCCCTCTTCAGCTTCACCAACTAGCATGTTTTCTGTCAAAACAGCACATGAACGAACATTTTCAGTGCAAACCCTAACAGGTTTCGCACTGGCAATCCTGACCCAATTTTAACCCTGGTTGCTATGGTGCTCTGCAGGCTGGGCGGCTGGCGGGGCAGGGCGATGTGGTGATGGCACACAGGCCTTTTGTTGCTCCTTGGCCTGGGTCCAGCCAGCTTGTTTCCCCCCTTCTCCCTTCACCCCACAGCAGCTGGCAGCAGTCTACATCTGCTGACCAGGAGCAGCAGCCAGGCTGCAGTCTCTGACACCTCTCTGGATCTGTGTCTCGGAGGAGACACCTTGTCCCAGGCACCCAGAGCTGTTCCTCTGCGGACCATAACTCCCATCCTTTGGCTGGATACCGCTGTATAGGAAAAGCCTTCATCTTCCTGCTCCTGGGCTTTAAGCAGGCTCCCTTTCCTCATCCCTCACTAGCTGCTTTCCAGACGTCCCGTGTCCTGCTTTACTCCCTCCAAAAAAGGAACTCATCACAGTACTTTATTTTAAAGGATGAGATCTAAAATAGGTCATCTTCTTAGTAACAGACAGAAGATGACTTTTATGAACAGGATTTGAAACACAACTCATTATTTTAAAGGCAGATGTTTTAATTTCTAGTCGATGTTAAATATATCACAATTGCCTAACACAGCAATACAAGCATGGGATTTGCAAATTTGAGTTTAATGTTAATTTAGCTGGTAGATAGTCTGCAGGGTAATCAGTGCTTTGCATTTTTCATTCAAGTTCAATGTTACACTTTGCCTTCTGCAACATAATCCAAAACACAGGCCAGCTGGCTGTGTTGATTAAAATCCTTTTTCTGCTTTTTATTAATCTTCATGGTTTTGCCCTAGAATTATGAAGTGGTCATGGTCTATCAGGAGGGAAATCTGCTGGGCCAGACTGCAGTATTTACAAATTGAGATTTCTGCTTAAAGTATATTGCTGATTCCTAAAATAAGTTGTGTCCCGAGTGCTTTGTTGTATCTGCAGAGCTTTACATGTGTTTGGAACAAAGCTCTTTGGGTTAAATTACTTACAAATAATTCATTATGCGTTTGGCTAACACATTTCCTCACTGAAAACCTAGATTAAGAGAATGTCATTAGGGGATATGGGTGATAGAGGACTTTTGTTGTCAGTCCTGTGTTTTGGAGGCATGGAGCGTGCAAACTCTTCATGTGAACCCTCATGGTCTTTACCTTGATGGTAGAGGGAGAATGAAGGGGGTCAGGGTATTGCTGCAAGGGGAAGCACTGACTCAGGCGTTAGAGGTTCCTCAGGATGCACAGCAATGGGACAAGAATAATTCTCAAATGGAATGTGATGGAGCAGCAGGAAGTATGCTTGATTCCTAAAATTAGTCCAAAGGCTGCTGGGACACAGCCTTAATCTTCCTTGCTCTGTAAACCTTCCTTGTACAAAGGCTGTCTGTTCAGTCTGGGTGAGATTCACCC